AATGCTCCCGATGTCCGTCTTGGCATCGAAACCCGAAGGAGGGACCGGAACGAGAATCAAGTGAGCCCTCCGGTTCTCACCATTGACGTACAATCGACATTCTCCGCCTTCATCCCAACACTCACTCAAAATCCAGGTGCCTTCGGCACGCTGGTAACACTCCAGCCGCAGGTCGGGGAGAACGCCATTCCTCCCCCTCCTCCGCCCCCTTCATGAGCCCTATCCTTCGCCTAGGGAACAACGAGTGGGTCATAGACCAAGATACCACATCCCAGGAGGTCCAATCTCGGGACCAACGTGGTGCGAACAAAGAGGGGCCTCGAACCTCTGCCCTCGAGAGACTCGGAGGGGCGCAAGACCGCCGAGGGGGTCCAAGACCGCCTCGGAGGAAAGGTGCTCCAAAGGCCTCAGGAAAGCGGAGGTTCCGTCTCAAGAGCAGACAAAAGGCGTCCCCCTCAGGACAAAGGAAAGGCATCACTCCATGCCGACGACGCAAGACATCGAATCAACCAGGCTCACTCGGCCCGTGTTTGTTTGCAGGGGGCGGAGGCCCTCCCGAAGGATCACAGGGACGAAACCATTGAAGCCCTCCAACGCCGCCTTGATGAGATGGAGGCCCGTTAAGTGCACACAACCGCTTCCGCCTCCAAGACGGACCCCAAATACACCGCCATACTTGCCAAAATGGAGGAGATGCAAAAGAAAATAGCTGAGGGCTCCGGGGAACCCATCATCCAACTTCGGACTAGGACGCCATTTACCCCAAGGGTATTGGCGGCCCAGATTCCGGGAAAGAACCGAGGGCAACTCATCAAGCCCTACGACGGGAAGACTGACCCCCAGGAGCATTACAGCAGATATAAGAACAGGATGATGATGATGATGGTGGGGGCATCGGACGAATATTTGTGCCGTTGGTTCCTCTCCACCGTAGAGGGACCAGCCTACGAATGGTTCAACCGATTGCCCGAAGGCTGCATCGATTCATGGCAGGAACTCACCCAACGTTTCTTGACACAGTTTGCAGGGAGGCGCCGGTCAAGAAAACACTTCTCCCACTTGGTGACGGTGAGACAAAGAAAGGAGGAGACCCTTCGGGACTTCTTGGAACGCTGGAGGACGGAGGCAGATAAAGTTAACGGCGCTGACGATGGGACCCTCGTGACCCTCCTGGACCTCCTTCAAACAGTCCTCCTTGACCGTCACATGTTTATCCCGCCCCGCTGGGACAACAGATATCTTTTTCCCCTCTTTCTCAAGAGCCGCGCAACCCTCCGGCTTTATGTGCCTCCGGAAGTAATTCCTCAGCTCCCTCAGGAATGGGTTCTCCGCCATCCTGATGTAGCAAAAGCGGTCTTTCCAGCCCTGGTGAGACGAGGGCACGTCATCGAAGAGCCTCCACGGGGCGAGTTGTTGCAGGTTCGCGAACCCCTCGGAATTCGCATGCCCCCCCGACAGAGATTGAAGCTTTGAAAAAATAACTCCAGGCTGGGAGTGCCCCCAGGACTTACAGAGATTCAGAAACCCGGTAATATAGGAGTGGCTATTCGGAGTAAGTTGGCAGGGGGCCAGGCCAACGTACCTAAGGTACTCTAAGAGGAAGGGATGCAATGGGAACCGAAGGCCCATCGAGACGGATAGGATATGCACATCAAAGCACCCCCCAGGCGCCCGATACAGCACGTCGTCAGGCCCCGGTTGTACCACCGTCACCGAAAGCCCTACGTGCAGTTGTGTGACATAGCACTCGGCCGGGTCGGCTCTGGAATTCACCGCCAAGGCAGCAGTATTCAACCACGAATACCCCTCGGGAATCCCAACCGGTTTGCCTTGGTCGGCAGCACCTTTCTTCTTGGGAGCTCCCGCCTTCTTCGTCTTCTTCTTCCCGGGGGCTACCCTGAGAGGTGTCGGGTTCAAGGGCCGGGAGGTGCTGGCTTCACCAACATTGCGTGCAGGGAGGACGTCGACGGTAACCTCCTGCCTCTCTTTCTCCTCCGCTTCCTCGGCAGTTTGAACGGCGAGGGCCAGGTCCTCGTCTTCATTTACTTGTTCAAAGTCCTCAGCCTCGACCTCAGCAACGAGCTCCTTCTGTAACTCCATGGCAACGGCAGAATCACCACCCACCGAAGGCTGCTCACTCGCGGACTCCACGTCTGAGATACTCTCCTCCTCTGCCGAGGGCTCCCTCAATATGTTTTGAGAATCACTTTGCGAAGACATCCTCGAGAACTAGGGGATGAGGGGTTCTAGAAATCGAAGGCTCCCTAAACAACTCTAGCACTTAGCCTAAGGGCGAAAATACGCTAAGGAACTCGAGAACGGGAGGAGCAACTGACCTTGGGAAGTAAGGCTCTAATCGAAGGGTTGTTTCTCTCTCTAGAAAAAATCCGGCAGAGCTTCGCTAACAATGAATCGCATAAGGGGAAAGGCTCAAGCCTTGGGGTATTTATAGGCACCCAAAATCGGGCTTAGGTCCAAAACCGGGCCTCCGGTTACGAAAGTCATCATTACACGCCGCCCCCTTCTGCCAACCGGTGATACCGCCCGAAGCTAGCCAACAACCACGAGCCACGTGGAAGTCCTCTCTAACGGCTACATTTTACACGTTCCATATTCCAACGGTCCTATTGCAAACGGCTATATTTCGAAAACACAGGGGTGCTCTCGGTCGGTACCCCTCATACAACATCACAAGTGCCTTTGGGCTTTTTCCTTCACGAGCCCACGGCTTAACAACGGGTAAGCCCCTCGGGAACCCTCAGCCCTCAATGCATTGAGGGCCAGGAAAACTCGGGGGAGCACACCTTCATCAACTGTCCCCCCGACCACGCAATAAGGAGACCCCTCGGGGACATCAAATTTAAAACCCCTCTTAGGTGGACTGCCTTCGACATACAACAACGGGACCCCTCGGGTGCCCTCATCCCCAGCTTATCAACAGCTAGAGAATCCCCCCGACAACACAGCAACTACCACTTACATTCATCACGCCATCAGACAAAGATAGCCCTCGACGTCAATACTGTCATCCATTTCGAACCAAGGTTTCAATTTTTCGATTCATCGTTAGGGGAATTCGGTGCACTCTTTTTCCCTCATTGGAATTTTTTCCCACAGAGTTTTTTGTAATGAGGGTTTTAACGAGACATCCCCCCAAAATGAAACGAAAAGCGTCGGCCTTCGGCAACATGATAACAGCGGGCACTACTCTACTCCTCTTCACCACATTACATGTGCCTCAAGGTGTGGGGGACTGGAGAACCCCTCCGGGAACCAGGAAAATCAAAATGCTAAAAAATTATTCTCACAAAGCATCAACACCCTTCAGTCCCAAAATATGGGGGAATGAAGGGCTGCCCTCGCCAGAATCGTGTGCAAACGCAAAACCTCACACAGGTTTACAAACTACAACAAGGCAGCATCAGAGAACAAACGCATTTTACTCCTTTTCCCTCAAGTACCTTTCGGCAAAAGGAGTGAGGGACTCCTGATGGAGTATATGGCCCAGGAACCCCCGATCCATAGACTCCCACTACTATAGCGAAGGCCCAATAGGCCCAGGAAGCACAACAAGCCCAAATCACAGCGCCCCAAGTGCCAAACATCCCGCGACGAACGTGTGGGTGCCTTCGCCCCCATGACAGAAGGCTTATAAACTCGCAGAACAGCTGTTTTAGGCAAACGAAGGTACTGGGAGAAAACGGCGTAAAAGAGTAGCCCTCGGTACCTAGATCCCTCGGCACACAGAGGCCCCCGGTATGAAGAGCCTTCGGCCGATCATCTACGGCCGAAGGCATCTCCTCGACAGAATCTCCCACCCACATGCACCGGATCAACGTACCGAGTACAAACGTCACATCCAACCAACGTATTTAATGCGGCCACATGCGAGTGCCAGTGCCACCCCGTTGAGGTGACCCCTTGACCACCAGAATGATGACACGTGTCCCTATCTGGCATTTATTACTACTATAAATAGCACCCCTTTTCCCCATTTGTAATCCATGCTCAATACGCTCAACACATTCTCAGCAATATATATTCTCTCTCTTACTTCTGCTTTGACTTCTCTCTAGATACTCCCCGCAGTAACCCCTCGGATAGATACCCCCCCCTCGAGTACACTTATCCATCTAATGTGAATTGACTGAAATAAACAACCTACCAAGATTTCAGACTGTGCACATCAGAATTGATGAATAAAAGATTTCGCCCAGTTAAAACTCCATATTAAAGATCTTTGAATTTAATGAGACAATCTCACCTTTTGTTTGAAGTCACATCAATAAAAAAGTCGGCATTAATTGCTACAGACGGCCAACACATAACTAAACCAGCTTGCAAAGTACCCGACCCATATATGACCCGTGACTTTAGGCGGGAAATTTGCTTGCATTTCCACTTAGCTTTGTATATTGTATAGATTCTTTCAATATGTTCCGAACTGAACTGAACCGAAACCGATAAAACCCAACCTAAAATCGATATGTCCACCCTATCGGAAATGATGGAACAACTACAACAACAATAGGACTAATATTAATAACCATAACACCAACAAGGCAACAACAACCATAATAAAAAACATTAACTTTCAAGCTTGCAGGAAAGATGGAACTAATAGAATCCTACTATATACAAACGGACCCAAACATTAAGAGGCCGCTTGGCAATACTTTTTTCGGCTTATGAGGCTTATCAATCAACTTTTTCACCAAACACGTAGCTTTTTCTTTCGGCGCTGAATTTTGTAATAAGCAGAAAAAGTAAGATTGAAGTTACTTTTCTGACTGTATTGGTTGAAGTTACTGTAGATGACCATTTTAGCTATTTTTACATATAATTTTTTCTTTATTTTATTAATAAAATATATTTTATAATTATTTTTTTCTTAAATCAGCAGAATCAGGCAATGCAGTCACTTGACCACTTCAGCCAGAACTTCACAAATTTCAGCAGAATCAGCCAAATCAGCCGATTTCGGTGCCATCAAATAGGCTCTAAAATGTAAAAGCATTCGGATATCAAAATGAGATTAAAAAAAATTGGATAAAATGGGTCTAACCTGGTCAAGGTAATCAGTCTAGGATAGTGTGGTGCAGTGGTGCTTTGGAATTTGAAAAAAAAAATTACTCCGTATGTCATTTCACATCTGCTATCTTTGTCATCTGAAAAGTGAAGAAAGGGAAGATCGTGATTTAAGTTCAGCTCTATACCCGTAAACTCCTCTCTCATGGGTCTTGAGAGCGGGACATAAGATTGCCGAGTGGCAAAGGAAGGGATCAGAAGCTGTGCAGCAGGCGAGCGGGAGTGTCGGACTGTGGGCGCCGCCGCTATCAACAGTTCAGCTGGGCCGTCAGGGAGAGTAGCCGGGCCGCCAGGCTGACGCAGGCGGCAGATGGCACGATGCGACACAGTGGCGGTGGACAGCAAGGGATGGCCAACAAGGCGACTGGCGGACTGGTGGCGTCTCTGCGGCTTGCGGACTTCACAAAGAAGTAGACGGATACCGTTTCACTTTGTTTGGGGTTTCTGGAATCAGCGTACAAGTGAATCTAAAATTCTGCAGGTCAGGAGTTTTACATTTGGCTATACCTCTTAATTTGACAGTGAATTTTTTTATTCCGTGTAAAGGCTTTTCTGTGCGCACCAATAAGCGTTGGATCTGCAGCAACAAGAATATTATATTTCAACATCCTGGTGTGATGTATCATAAAAGCTGTGATTTTTATTTATGTTCTGAAAATAAAGATTGAGGTTGTTCTTTCCTTTCCTTTTATTTTATTTTATGTTTCTTTGATGAATGTTATATTTCTATCATGAAGATGGATGTCATTAAGTTGCAGCAGAATGATAAAGGTGAGTAAACATTATACTGAGCTAGATATACTTGAAAACTTTGTAAGGAATTCTCTTACATATTATGATACTACAGACTTTTATTTTCTGAAAGTATCATATTCTTTGAATAGTGTATATAACACCTAACAATTTTCAGCGCAAATGAATTTATTTGGCTCAATGATGCCATGAAATTGCTCTTCTATTTCTCCCAGGGCCCTCACCATCAACGTTAGATGAACTGTCCATGTCCGCCGAAGAACTCTAAGCCAGAAGTCCCTATTTCTGTTGTTGCATTTTCTGAACTGGATTTAGGAGCTTGAGTTCACCGAGGGAAGAACTCAAAGCCTAATGACCTTGATTCATTCTTTCTAGAGGAGATGGATGCTTATGAGTGGTGAACCGATCAGCTAGACAATTGTATGGTTGATACTGCGAACGGTTAACAGCCTCTCGCCATGAAATGTCCATCACGAGCAGAAGTTCAATCTGCCCACCAGGTGCTCACTCGCTTGCGAGTGTTCCAGCCTTCCTGGAATCAAAGCTTCTCGCGTATGAAGAGGTATGCATTTGAAAATGTCTTATTACTCCTATATATGTAAAGAAGCAGTTTACAGCTTAAATTTTGACATGAGAATATGAGATGAATACATCCTTATGGAGGATGAATACATGTATACCACGTTCTCAACTAAATTAGACCAATGAATATACAATTAAGTGTAAGAAATAAGTAAGAAATTTATATCGTCAAACTGTAAAATGCATGGAGATATATTTTGTACACTAATCAACTATTTGAAATGACTACAAAAAATACTTCTCCCTCCGTTCCTATTTTATCTTCCAAATAGGTTTGGCACACAATTTAAGATAGTGGTATTGTGTGGTGGAGAGTTGTGCAGGGGAGAGAGAAATGTGTAAGAAATGTTGTGAACCACAAATTCTTTACTAAAAAGGGAAAGTGGAAGTTTTAATTGGAACGGACGAAAAAGTAAAGTTGGAAGTTTTAATAGGAACGGAGGGAGTATTTCAGATGGGGTACAACTTAAGTTGGATTTCTTGTCCAACCATATTCACTATTTCTTGTACAACAGGATAGGACTACCCCGTGCTCGATGTTGAGATATAAGCGTGTAGCTGCCCGGAAGTTGACTGAGTTCCTTGTATTTAGAATCAGGGATGATCCCTCGTTTGATGATATTTTTCAACATATGGAACCTGCTGCTATGATGAGGTTCTTTCCACTCCATAATGCGCTAATAATAATAATAGTATTAATAATACTAATAATAATAATTATAATAATAATATAATAAAATATAATAATACTAATAATAGTTTCTGGGACTGTTTCTATAAATTATGCGGTCATTCTAAATTTCCAATATTTTTACCATCTACTTTCTATCTTTCCTATTATTCAAGGAGTGCCTCGAGTATTTTAATAGGCTACTGGGCGAATGAAGAAGCGATTCTTCCATTGGTTTATGCAATGGGAACTCGTGCTTTTGGAGTGAAGAGATTTGGCTCAGGAGAGGCTTGTATTAGTAATGTAAAGGTAATCATCTCAACTCTCAAGTATCATTTATGCTGATCAGTGCCAATTCCTTTAGAATTTCTTTTCTCTCACTTTCTCAATATCCTTGATATTATACGTTGATCATTGTCTCTTCGTTCTTAAGTATATCCGTGATTTCTACTGTTGATTGTTTCTGATTTGAGATGCATTTTATTTCCCGAAGCCCAGTCTGATATTTTCCCTGATGATTATATTTAATAATAACTTTTTAGGAAAAGGAACATGATCTTGTCCCTGGAGAAGAGAGACCTGTGAATAAAATTTGCATGGAGTCTCCATCTTGCACTATCATTGCTGACCTTTCTCAAGTATGTATAGCCACCCACGATTTTGGCTATGATAATATGGAAGATGTTGAGTAGTTTGACATAGTACACTTTCTGTGTTAACACTTCCTATGCAGTCTTATTTTGGCATTTGTTGTGTGTTTTTTCCCACATCAAATATTACCTTTCACAATATCTGTAAGGCATAGGCATTTTTATTGTCTCTTTCAAATCATTTATTGGAAATATTTTTCATGATTTTTGGGCTTTGTTTGCAATTTTGCATGCATACCATGCACATTCCTGTATTTGAAGATTCTCTTAGTATAGTATACCAAATTGCTGCCAAATTGACCTGTCAGTTTCACCTTGTGCATTATTATAAGTATGGAAGAATTTATTTTGTTTTAGTTTGTTTGGTTAAGCTTTTAAGTTAACCCATGCTGGATGCTTCGATCAAGAAACTGGCTGACCAATTAATAAAGTTTCCAGAAGCAGTTCTCCTGGCGGAAGAACTCCTGGAATCTCTGAAGGATGCTGTTCCGTTAAGACTCCCCCCATATCTCCACTATCTTGAAAGGCATAGATCTGCAGCACTAGGATTTTGGTTTGCTCCTGTCATCATCCTGCACCTAATTAAGGAATTGAAAGAGGTATTTCTGGTTTCTTCATGTTTATTTCTGCTAAAAAACCACTCTATAATTGATTAGCATCCTTAACTAACCCTTCATTTAACAGTCCACTGCACTATTCAACACTCTTAACAAGTACTCCCTCCGTTCCGCAATTAAGTTACCACTTTTCTTTTTGGGCAGTCCCTAAATTAAGTTCACACTTTCTTACTTTCCTTATTTGGCAAATTATCTACATCAAAACAGTGTCAAACAGTGCAAAACAGTGTCAAACAGTGTTGGAACAGTGCAAAATAGTGCACTCCACAGTAAAGTCAAATTTATTTTCTTAATATGTGTGAAGTCAAACCGGGAAGTTAATTGGGAGACTGAGGGAGTATATAAAGGGAGCACATCTTTTACGATGTCAGGAACGAATGACTCGTATACAAAAAGATCCCTTGCTGGGAATCTGGGATTGATTCTTGAGAGCGATAATGTTATTAAGATAAGGTTTGTATATGCCACCCCTGCCCGCCAAGAAATGCATGATTTATCATGTTGTGGATTTATTGATGCTCTCTCTAAGATAGGATGAAATGTGATTGGTAATTGATAGTTTGTTAGGTTATGTTTCAAGTTTCATATGTCGGTTTGTTGACCAAACTTGTATTAGATCAGTCCCCAAAAAATCACGTTTGACCAATGTGTTTATTGTACTTTTCGTGTCATACAAGTGTACAACTCTCATAAATCATGAACCATGTTTATTTCTTTCAAATCTATTTGTTGGATCAAGTATCCTTAACCTATTGTGTGCGCCTTTTTTCACATTTTTGGCGAATTACAAGAAAAAATGTATGGAGTATTTGTTTGGTTAAAGTTGATTCTTCTTTGGAGACAAAAAGTTCTTGAACCATGACTCTTGTTTACTGGACATGAGAGAGTAGTGGATATGCAAATGACAGAAGATCTGACAAAATTGTTTTTATGCTCTAGCCCACTGTTTTAGTGTATTACATGAAATGGATGTATAGACCCTCTAGCCTTGGCATGTCTTTGCTTTTGAAACACATGTGAGAACATTTATATACATACATTAATTGGTCTTCTTTCTCAATTCTGAATTGCACATTGGTGTTGCAGCAACGTTTTCTCCATTAAGACAATTATCATCATTAGTTTCATTACTGATATGTACTTTATGTTTTCGTTTTTTAGGGGAGCCTTGAGTATTTTATTCGGATACTGGAGTGATAGTGACGTATCTATGCTGGTTCCAATGTTAATTTCTCTAAAAAATAGAAACAAAAAATATTACTATGCTGGTTCCAACCGTACGATTCAGTTGAGTCCTTTGCCTTTAGGTCCAACAAAAAAAAATTTCAAAATTCGGGTCCCAAAGTCATAAAAAAGGTCAAACATGACATTTTGGGGCTGAGGAGAGTGGGAGAGGGTTTGGTATACTTTCTAATAAATTACAAAAGTCTAACAAATATTACTACACAAAGTTTCATACCAATTAAAAACTGCATGAATGAATGATTTTCCTAAGAGCATAATAAATTAGAATAAAATCCTGAAAGTTGGAAGGAACACTTTCCTTATTTCTTGAAAGTGTGGAACAATTCAAAATTATATATGAACAAACACACACATATAGGCAGGCACGTACTAAATTACTAATCAATATACCTCTTGTTTATGATCCATTTTCTTGGTCAACAGATGTAACATGTCAGACAATATAATGTAAAAAAAAGAATGCTGATTAAACATGCTTCAAATTGAATAAATTTGTTTTTATTTATAAAAACTATACAACTTGTACTCCAGGCTTTGACGAGAAAACTAATAACAGTGTAGGCAAAATACTAGGTTTGTACTTTGTAGTGAATATTTTAACCATCTGATGCACGTTTTATTAGTAAACTAATGTTGAGTAACTCTGTCTCTGTTTTCATGTTATAGGAAAATGCTTTGTAGTGAATATTTTAACCATCTGATCCTACTGATTTATGAAAAAATTATATTTAAAATACTTGTTCTTAATAAATAAAATAAAAAAATATAAGAAAAAGGAGCTCAAATGATACTTTACAGTAACTTCAGCCAATACAGCCAGAAAAGTAACTTCAACTTTACTTTTTCTTATTATTACGCAATTCAACACTGATTTAGTTTATGATCCAATCACGAAAAGGTAATTGGAATGAGATTATTTGCAGAATCTCAATGATCCAATATTCTTTTAAGCAAGAGTCTACTTTTGATGCCACCCGTGCTACAGAAGGTTATGATGCTTTTGTAACTGGTTGGCGAGATACCTTAGGGGTTGGAAAGAGAATTGTCAATACAAATGTACTCTCTAAACCTCCTGCAAATGAAAAAAATGCAAATACATACATGTGAACTTTTCTTGTGAACAAAATGCAAGATAATACAATTGTGTGGGTAAGTTTTAATACTACGACCGGTACTTGATCGGTATTAAGAATAGTGTTGGGGATTGGTTTAGCCTAGGAGAAAGCCAAGTTGACACAGGTGACTCACTGCACTACCAATAACGGTTTCTCATAAAAGTTTACTAAGTGCATTCAAAATTGCTTCATTGGATGAGGTTCCAAAAGCAGAGAAGCGATAGTTTTTTAAATCAAAACTAAAAACGAATGTAGATTTAAGTATGCATCGAAAAAAGATAGTAGCCAGTCTCATCATAATCATCATGGTTTTGCAAAGCAACCAGATCAAATTCAATTAGAGGACATATTATGCACAATTAAGAAAAAAGTGGGGGTGTTTCGGAGGTATTTAAAGACATGGGTTCTAAGTGACCTGATAAGTTTTGGATGGATACTTTGGTCGATAAATGAAACAAAATATCATAGATTCTTATTCAAAATAACAAAGTGTGGAGCATACCAGGAGTAAGAGAGTTTGAATTTAAAAGTGCTATGTTACAACATAAAAGTTGGAGCAGAAAATAGGTTGCTTGCTCCAGTTGGAGACGTACAAGGGGAAATTGGGATCATTAAGCTGGAACGGTTCGAGGCCGATGAAGAAAGCAGTTCTAGAGAGAAATCAAATAAAAAAAAAGAGACCAAAAAACTGCAAGATATCAAGGTATATATTTTTCAAATTTTGTAATTACAACCACTTCGTATTATATTTTACTAAGCACCGTAAACTTATTTCTATCATTTTTTAATAGGTAAAAGCTCAAGGGTGAAATAGATCGGGTAGTTTTTCTAGGAATTAGTTGTGTTTTTCCTCTACAGTAATGTATATATGTTTCATGCATGGTTTTGATGGGGTTGTTTCGTAATGACTTAGAATATTTTGCAGCTCCAGTTGACTAAACTAGCAATAGTCATTGATTCCTTCCTCTTATACTGTAATTGTTTTTTGTGCTCTAGAGGAAAAAAAGATTTGAGTCCACATGCTGAGGCATTGGCTTACAATAAATCGTTCTGGCGAAAACATGTCCAAAAAGAAAGAGTTTTTATCTTTTGATAATGATACTAACTTCACACTATTGCTATTACGATCTTATTATGAAGCAAATACCTTTGAAGTTTCACACTATTGCTATTATGATAATGATATTAACTTCACACTATTGCTATTATGATCTTATTATGAAGCAAATACCTTTGAAGTTTCACCCAGAAGCGAACACACTTGTTTTTGCATCAACCTGCACAATCTCAGCCCCTTCGATTACCCGATGCTTATCGTCGTTCTCCGCAAGGAACGACCCTTTTTTCTTGTGGGTGGTCATCATTGTATGATGCCTTTAAATATATAAAGCATGCGGGTCATTGTTTATCCATCCACAAATGTAGGCACATTTGTTCCAACTTCAGGAGTTTGTAGGCAAAAATCATAAGGCACAAAATGCTAATTCATAGTGGGTCTACAAAAAATAACTTTAGTTGAACCGATTTTATTTTTCCTATAACCAAAGTGTCGAAGAAATTGACTCTCTCCTACCGGTAGGAAAAGGGGCTACAAGGGTAAAATAAATCTTGCAGCTGACTGTACCGTGCGCACAGTACAGTCGGGCTTTTTGTTCGTTGTGTACTGCGCGTTGTCCCTTGGATCTCCGCCTCCACCTTGAAACTCGTCTCTTCCTTGCCGATGGCCTTCGCTCGTCTCTTGGTTCTGCGCTAGGCATGGACTCGGGCCGGGCCTAGGCCCGGTCGGGCCGCCGGTTTGTAACTCATGGCCCCGGGACCGGCCCGAGGTTTGGACGGGTCCGGTTCGGGCCGGGCCACCCGCTCGGGTCCCGGGTCGGGTCACCCGCCAGGCCGGGCCAGTTAAAACCAATTTTTTTATAATTTATACTTTAAAGTTTTATACAAGTATTAAAAACAAACTTCAAGTGCATTTATTTGAAATGAAATAGGAACTACATTTAAAAATTAAGAGAAACATACAATATGAAATACATTTTGTAAATTGTAATCAATCGGAACTTCCCGCACCTCCCGATCCTTTGGTTTTGTCACATGACCTAATATGCTTCATTGTCATCCCGTATTTGCTTGGAACCCCCATGCTACACTTTTTCCCGAATCATTTGCAAGTTGCGTATCACATCCCGATCCTCGGGTCCTGCTTACCAAAATTATACCGTATAACGGCATATTGACTTTCCATCTTAAAAATGGTAGATATAATTATTCTACAATAGATGGAGATGAAGATGGAGATTGGAGATTGGATGTTGGAGAAGATGTGTATAAAAATGTTAGAAAATAAGAATATTTATAGAATTTTTTGTACCCCCACCCCCTACCCCCAACGGGTAATCGAAGGGACTAGGATTGTGGAAGCTGATGCAATAACAAGTGTGTTCGCTTCAAAGGTATTTGCTTCATAATAAAATCATAATAGCAATACTGTGTAGAGAGTATCATTATCAAATCAAATGATAAAAACTCTTTCCTTTTGGAGATGTTTTCGCCAGAATGATAGTTAATTGCTTTTTTCGTTAATTGGGATTGTTTCAGCTTCTTCCAAAAATCCCAACGTATAGTTTACTGTACATACTAAAGCTAGATAGATCCGTACACATATCAAACCTCGAGTGTTTTACTATATCCTGAGATTTGGTTCAGCACATTTACTAACAAACAAACAAAACTCTTTTCATTCTCCAATTGCGTGTAAGGCCAACAATGATGGTTGCCTTATGAATAAATCCAACAATTTTTTACATTGACCAGTATAGTAGCAAGAGAATCTTGAAGCAAGCCATATGATGCTGGTTCATCTCCAATTGTAAGCAAATCCTCCCCATTTTCATATATCTTTCTTTTCTCCCTTCAGAGCTTTAACGGAAACACTTGTACAAAGCTTTAGCCTATGGACTCGAATCTTCTTTTCCTCTAGAAGCACAAAGAACAACAATTACAATATATGAGGAAAGAATCAATGACTATTGTCAGTTTCTTTAACTGGAGCTGCACAATACTCTAAGCCATTACGAAACAACCCCATCAAAACCATGCATGAAACATATATACATAATTATTGAGTAGAAAAAACATAAAACTATTTCCAACAAAATTACCCGATCTATTTCAACCTTGCGTTTTCACCTGTTATAAAAAATTATATAAATTAATTTATGATGCTTAGTAAAATATAATACGAAGTGGTTGTAATTACAAACTTACATACACCTATATCTTGTAGTTTTTTGACATCCTTCCTTTTTTGGATTTGATTTCCCCCTAGAACTGCTTTCGTCATCGGTCTCAAACCGTTCCTGCTTAATGATCCCAACATCCTCTTTTACGTCTCCAATCGTAGCAAACAACTTATTTTCTGCTCCAACTTTTATGTTGTAACTTCGCACTTTTAAATTCAAATTATCTCTTACTTCTGATATGCTTCCCTCTTTGCTATTTTGAATAATAATCCGACATTTTGCTCCATTTATCGACCACAGTATCCATCCAAAGCTTATCACGGTCCGTTAGAACCATGTTAATACCTCAGAAACACCCTCACTTTCCTCCAATTGTGTATAATGTGCTCTCTAATCGAAAAATCTTTTTTCGATGCAGACTTAAATCTACATTTGTTTTTAGTATTGATACAAAAACTATCACGTTGATAACATCATTCTTTGCTTTTTGAATCTCATTCAGTGAAGCAATTTTGGACGCACTTAGTAAACTCATGTGAGAAATCGTTATTGGTAGTGCACTAGAATCACCTGTCAATTTGGCTCTCTCCTAGGCTAAACCAATCCCTAGCACTATTCCTAATACCAATCAAGTAGAGGTCGTGATAAACTTATCCATACAATTGTATTCTCTTGTATTCTGTTCACAAGAAAAGTTCACATGTATTCATTTGCATTTTTTTTTCATTTGCAAGAGGTTTAGGGAGTACATTTATATTGACAATCCTCCTTCCAACCACTAAAGTACCTCGCCAATCAGTTACAAAAGCACCATAACCTTCTGTAGCACGGGAAGCATCGAAAGTAGACTCTTGCTCAAAAGAATTTGGATTATTGAGATTCTGCGAATAATCTCATTTCAATTTAAACTAAATCAGTGCACTAACAACATTAAACTTTCACCAATTACCTTTTTGTGAATACATTTTAAAAATAGTTTCTGAAACATATCAAGTAGTAATGAATTGATTTTAATTGATCTAGAAGATTTAATGTCTGAACTAAACATTTTTTTGTGTGGGCAACACTTTGAAATACACATATATATAGTGGAAAATCGTACGATTCAGTTGAGTCCTTTGCCTTTAGGTCCACTTGTTATTGCATCAACCTGCACAATCCCAGCCCCTTCGATTACCCGATGCTTATCGTCGTTCTCCGCAAGGAACGACCCTTTTTTCTTGTGGGTGGTCATCATTGTATGATGCCTTTAAATATATAAAGCATGCGGGTCATTGTTTATCCATCCACAAATGTAGGCACATTTGTTCCAACTTCAGGAGTTTGTAGGCAAAAATCATAAGGCACAAAATGCTAATTCATAGTGGGTCTACAAAAAATAACTTTAGTTGAACCGATTTTATTTTTCCTATAACCAAAGTGTCGAAGAAATTGACTCTCTCTTACCGGTAGGAAAAGGGGCTACAAGGGTAAAATAAATCCTGCAGCTGACTGTACCGTGCGCACAGTATAGTCGGGCTTTTTGTTCGTTGTGTACTGCGCGTTGTCCCTCGGATCTCCGCCTCCACCTTGAATCTCGTCTCTTCCTTGCCGATGGCCTTCGCTCGTCTCTTGGATCTGCGCTAGGCATGGACTCGGGCCGGGCCTAGGCCCGGTCAGGCCGCCGGTTTGTAACTCATGGTCCCGGGACCGGCCCGAGGTTTGGACGGGTCCGGTTCAGGCCGGGCCACCCGCCCGGGTCACGGGTCGGGTCACCCGCCAGGCCGGGCCGGTTAAAACCAATTTTTTTTATAATTTATACTTTATAGTTTTATACAAGTATTAAAAATAAACTTCAAGTGCATTTATTTGAAATGAAATAGGAACTACATTTAAAAATTAAGAGAAACAAACATATAATATGAAATACATTTTGTAAATTGTAATCAATCGGAACTTCCCGCACCTCCCGATCCTTTGGTTTTGTCACATGACCTAATATGCTTCATTGACATCCCGTATCTGCCTGGAACCCCCATGCTACACTTTTTCCCGCATCATTTGCAAGTTGCGTATCACATCCCGATCCTCGGGTCCTGCTTATCAAAATTATATCGTATAACGGTATATTGACTTTCCATCTTAAAAATGGTAGATATAATAATTCTACAATAGATGGAGATGAAGATGGAGAATGGAGATTAGAGATTGGATGTTGGAGAAGATGTGTATAAAAATGTTAGAAAATAAGAGTATTTATAGAATTTTTTGTACCCCCACCCCCCACCCTCAACGGCTCTATGCCTCTATTGATTCAAATTTCGAACAACCAAACTACCAAAGTGGCTATATAGCCGTTTGGGACTTTTGATTTCAATTTTTTTTGTATGTTTTAGTTTGAGTAAATTACATAATGTAAAATTAATTGATTAATTTTATGAATTCAGTAAAAAATGCTACATATAAAAAAATGAACGGCTATATAGCCGTTTGGGTTGTCCCCAGCCCACCCCAACAGTCATCTTTGGCCCAAAAGATTTTTTTTTTTAAATATAGCCGTTGTGACCCGGACCCGGGCTTGACCCGGCCGGGCTGGGTCACATTTTGCATGAACCGAGCCCGCCCTCGCTTCCCCCACCGGTTCGGGTTCACACTCGGTCCCGGACCGCCAGTCCGGGCCGGTCCAGGGCCCCCACAGTAGTGGGCCGGGCCGGGTCACGGGCCGGGTGGCCTGAACCGAGTCCATCCCTAATCTGCGCACGACGATGGAGGCTATGGATGGGTTGCGCAGATGCAGCGAAGATTGCTTCGCTCTGGAGGCTATGGATGGATGGATTGCGTAGATGCAGCGAAGATAGGTTTTGCGCGCTCTGTTCCCTCTTTCCTTTCCTCTTTCTATTTCTCTTACACTTATTTTTGAGTTTGGTAGCTTTTGGGTTAGGGGAAACCTAAGTTGTACGTGGTTTTAAAGATATGAGCATACATAAATAAAATTTTGAGTATGGTAGAGATTTTAAATGGGTCTAAAAGATATGAGTATACGCCTAAAAGAAATGAACTCACACAAATTAATATTGAATACATTGAAAATGAGTTTTATGTTAAACTGAAATGAGTATAAAACCCAAAATGAATGAGCATACACTAATGAACTTTCAATTTTTTTTATACTCATTTTGTGTTTAAGTATGCTCATTTGGTATTGCTTTATGCTCATTTGAAAATGTCACACATTTCAAACGTACCCTCATACTACATTATGTTTTACTCAAGTGAGTATAAGTCCAAAATGAATGAGCATACATAAATGAGCTTTTGAATTTTTGATACTCATTTTGTAAGTTACGTATTGCAAATTTTATAATATTGCAAATTTCAAACATATCATACTATATTAGATTCACATATTAAAATTAATTGGAAATGATACAAACATAATTTAAGAGTTTTTTATATACGAAAAGAATCATAAAAAGAAAGCGAATTCAAAGATATGAAGCAGAGAACATTGATGCTCATTTTTTGACTCCAAATACTCAAAAGAATAGGCCTGATGATCAACGAAATTGCGTTAATGCTCATTCAAGAAAAACCGTGTTTTTTACCAAAATTACAAACATGCCATCAGCTATACGGCTGGAGTGTTTCCCGTTCAACTCCAAGAAAAGACTAGAAATAGAACATCATTTTCTTTTCATCAGTGTATTATCTGTTAAAACAAACAAGTAAAAATAAATTAGATTTTTAATTTATTTTAGCATCAGATATTTTTTCTCTTTTAACTCTCTTCTATCTAACGTGTTCGCGGTTTAAGGTTCAATCGGAATTAGAATCAGAATGGCCCGTTTTTAACCAATATTGCATGAGGATTAGATCGAGAAGTTCACTAGTCCAAATCGGTCCTTTGAAATTTTGGAACGAAAACTACCGGTTACGGTTCAGCAGAATCAGATGGTTCTGATTTGGAACCGTTTTTTTATTAAATAAATAAGTAAATAAATAAATAATTAAAAATAATAATTTTAATAGTAGTTGTTGTAGTAATTGTCCTAACAATAAAAATAATAAATAAGTCTTCACAATTTTAACTAATAAATTGTGATTATTAGTTAGTAATTTTTAATTATTACTGGTTATAAGTCTTAAATATCACAAATTAGAGTTATAAAAATACATAATTTAAGAATCACTAAAGTAATTTAAAATTACTAACTTCTCAACTTGTACTAGAATTTGGCGAATTAGCCCATATGATTTAAATAGTGCGTCAAACTCCTCCGTGTTATTATTACGGATGCACAAAACCCACTCTAAGAACATATTTTACAATTTTAAAATATTTTTCTTAAGAAAATAATATGATTGAATATGCAAGTAACTTTGTCAAGATTTCTAAACTATACAAAAATATTAATTATTTTCATTTATTTGGAAATTAATATAAATTTGTTCATTAAAGGAGTTTTTGCGCGTTAATAACCACTCCTATAACACAAGGGGGTTTGTCGCTTTTCTTAAATCAGAGGGAGTTAATGTATCGAATTTATATTTCACGAGTGAGTTTGGTGTATTAAACTCCACACAATGTTTAGTACTTTTTGTGTGCTACTATGTGACACTTTCTTTCTTTCTTGTGTTGAATATTATCACACAGGAGTAAAATAGTGTCAAAGTAAGACTTACGAGTATTTTTTTAATTCCTAAAATATAAGTAATTATTTGTGATTGGATAAAAACACTCTTATAGTGGGTCGAGTTTGGTCACTGGGTTGGCACCGCTAATTGATAGATCAGTGGCCACATCGGGCCGCCGCCGGGCACCATACCAGTGGCCACACCCGTCCGCCGCCGTCGGACTACCTTGGCTATGATGGGTGAACTAGGGGGAAATTGATTATTTTAAGGATATAAATCTAATGTTTAGGCCTATTTAGAGGATACAAAAACATGGATTCCTATTTAGAAACTTTAATCATGTTTCTAAATAGGAATTGTAAGTTAATGTCATATACTACGATTGACACTAATTATAAGTTAATGCCTCCCGATAAATGGGTAAATGACACATTTCCTTCCGAATTGATTTGTGTACTTCAAATCTCGATTTTGCTGGCTATTAATATATTCAAATTTGTTTATACAGTTATATATTTTAGAATGTTAGATTAAAAACATAAACGTCTTGTTTTTAAATTTGTGCAATTCTAGATTAGATTATTTATTCGAACTAGTAACATGTTCAATACAAGTACTACTCCCTCCGTCCCTATTTACTTAGCCAAACTTGACTTTTCAAATCAACGACGTCTAACTTTGATCGATTATATGTTTATATAGAGAAAGTATTGATAATATGAAAATGATATGAAAATGTTCTTTGTTAAAAACACTATCATAAAAGTATAAAATTATTAAATTTTGCATAAATATATTAGCTTAAATATTTGGTCAAAGTTAGAGGCCGTTGACTTGAAAAGTCAAGTTTGGCTAAGTACATTGGGACGGGTAGTAGTAAACTTGTTATACGTAGATCATTGTATCTTCATATTTCAGTATATGATTTCTACTTTTTTATTGTTGCTGATTTGAGATGCATTTGATTTCCCAAAGCCCAATCTGATATTTTCCCTGATGATTATATTGACTAATAACTTATCAGGAAAAGAAAATTCATCTTGTCTCCGGAGAAGAGAGATCTATGAATGAAATGTGCATGGAGTCTCCATCTTGCTCTACTGCTCTGATAATATGGAAGAAACAGACTATTCGTATTATGCATACACTTATAATTTTTTTTCCCAAAAAAAGGAGATGAGGTCTTATTAGTAGATCTTGAGTAGTTAGTCTTATTCTGGCAATAGTTTGTTTTTTTCCCCACATGGTCACATCACAATATCAAATATTACCGTTGACAATATCTTTAAGGCACAGGCATTTTTGTCGTCTCTTTCACACCGTTTATTGGAATTATTTTTCATGAATTAGGGATTTATTTTCATGCATACCATGCACATTCCTGCATTTGAAGATTCTCTTAGGGAGTATATTATACAGTACCAAATTGACATGTCAGTTTTTATCATTTTTATATAGGGATAAGGCTCAAATTAGACACTATGGTTTCATCAGAATCTCATATTGGACATTAAGGTTTCAAATGGACCAAATTAGACACTATGGTTTCATATGTATCTCATATTTGACACTAAAGTTTCATAATTCAATATAAGTGAGTGTCCCATTTGATCTTTATCCAATATAAGTGAGTGTCCAAAAACTATGAATTATGAAACTTTAGTATCCAATATACCTGCTGAAAGTTACAAACTATTTTTGATTTCACACATTAAAATTACTAATGATTAATTAAAATAATAATAATAATAATATGATGAAGACTTGATCTGCAGACTGCTTTTTGTTCCTTCTGAGCCACGCCCTCATGGACCTCATGGATTCTCATGATGTATAAAATGGCATAATTATAAAACAAATACTCCCCGTGTCGTGCTACTTTGTGCTTCATATGGCTACAGACCTCATATTTTTATGTTTTCCCATGTATTTGTTTCATTGTGATATGCCGTTTTAAAATATTTAAGTCTTGATGGGTTCGCCCGGTCAACCAAGACTGGCCCCGAGATGCCAGTTCGGCCATTCGGGGACCAGACCGGTCCATCCCTAAAGTCAACGAGGAGATTAAGTTTCTTTATAAAAATAACCAAAATTAATACCATGAAATACAAAGCATGTAAAGTAAGCAATTATGTTTGGATGTTCAACCATTTGATTCATGGTTATCATCACAGGGAAGCATACAATTACTTCTCAGGGCAGAAGAGTAGTAATGGGATTCAAGTTCTTTAAGGGTAGCAGCAGCCTCCTCTCCAACCCCAGCTAATACCCGGTCAGTCTTCTCGGCAAGTTGGTTGAATTCTTCAGTTCTTTGCTCCACATGGTCGTTTAAGGAAGCAAATCCAGAAAAGATGGCTGTTTGTTTCAACTCCGAAACCAACTTTAGCAACGAGTCAGCTGCCTGAACCTGTGTTTATTCATTGAAGAGATCTAGAACAACCACATGAATATTTGAACAACAAAGAAGAAAATCCACTCAAACCAAGCAGGGTTTATATTGTGCCTACAAAACTTCAACTATGCAAAAAAACTTGATCTGGGAAGAATTAGATTCTCACCCGTGCAATGCACGAGATTTTTTTAGTAACTATGTATTATGTATTATTATTTGCTTAAGATAATAATAATAGTACATGATAGTTTTGAAACAAATGCAATGTGTAAATGCATTGAAAGAAAGTTTAATAAATATTAAGAATTTATAAACTAGAAGAGTCAAATCATAATGTTGATGGTAAAAGGACGGACGGTAGTCAATATTACAATCATAACGTATTATCAATTTATCATAAATACTTGTAGTTGTTATCTTAATTTATGCATTATCGTACAGTATATAAATGTGATCATTTTTATTCATAGAATGAAAATATAGCTCCTTATTGGAGTGTACGATTTATTAACCTCTTCATCTTAAGTCTTAACTGTCTCTACCCCTGCAACTAATGTGATGCCCAAAACAGAAGTGGTCATTGGTATGGATGGACTCGGGTCCGGGCCGGGACCGGGCCCAAACCGGGCCCGAACCGGAACCGGACCTCCCCTTCATCATCGTTCGTTACACTGTTAGCATTAAGAGAATTCTCATTGCTGGCTAACACAAGGGCGTTTTCCAATACTGTTTCAAAGGTGATCACCAACCAGTACAAATGATGTTATTTGCGGAAGAGATCGTGTGAGATATTGTTTATATGCTGAATTTGAATGGTATAGCACGCAAATATCATCTCACAGGTGCAGTTAAAATGGACAACATTGTTTGACAGATCAAAGCAATTTTTAATGACCTGGCCCACATAACAGAAAGGTTCAAAAAATTCAACAGATCTGACCCATTATTTTTTACCAGTATCTTTTGGCAGGAATATTGGCTGCTTTTCCCTCTTGCTTTGTATATAGATAAATACATAGATGTATAAACAAGCCCCTGGAGTGGACATAACTTTTCCTCTAAACCCCTATCATTCCAAGTTTTCTTTTTGATCCGGTTACTTTTAAGATTGAACCTATAAGCCTTTAAATGATTAATATTTATGTTTGTATTGAGAGTTGTGTAAAGACTGACTAAGTGAATGGTGGAGATAGGAAATCAATATTTGGAGGTGGGGGCAGGGGCGGCAAAGAATGAATTGTTAAATTAGGAGGCCTAAGCTTCATACTACATGTCTACATTATCCATAAATTACAATTAGTTATACACACAAAGAGATACACGCATGCAGTCTACTTTTCTCAGGATGTATATTCCAACCTAAAGAGCACTGATAATGAATGAGATTCCAAAGGTCACATAGCAATTTTAAAAGGAAAAAGAAGCACGTCAATGTGTATCGAAGTCATAAAGGAAATCAAGTCTCACCATTCTGGATGCTCGAACCTCCATCATGAAAGCTTCTTGGGAATTCCTAACTGGTGGATCATTTACCTATTATGTACATGTATGAAAATCATCATACAGAAATAAGCCCATTGAAGCTCCACATTAACATACCTTGACTTCAGCTTCTAAGTATTTCTATTACGTCTAATATTTAAAAAGGGAAAATCGCATATATGGTCCCTCAGTTATCAACGAAATTAAAATCTCAGACCTGTATTTCTGAGATTGTAAATGTCATCCTCAATTGTCCAAATTATTATAAATGTGGTTCTTTAAGTGGTAAAATGTACTCTCGCATATTTCACCCCTCAAAAGAACCACATTTACAACAATTTGGACAATTGAGGGGTAACATTTATGACATTTCTTTGGCAAATTACCTAGAAAATGAGCTCCTTTTTTTTGAAAATCGGACTATTTTTGGGACAAAAAAACTTCTCTTTTGGGATAAGGGAGCAACCAAACAAGCTGATCCATTTGATCTCCCACTTGGTTCAACACAGAAAACAATTCGAAAATATTTGGATAAAGAGCAAATCCATCAATCATTATGGTACTACATTCAAATTTCCAACACCCAGGTTGATAATTTTCAAGCTAACTTCGCGTATGGGAACGCGAGAGAAAAAAAGAGAGAGGGAGAGAGATAGTACCCGAGCAACATTCACAATGAAGCTGAAATTGTCAACTATGCTTCCGATGTCGTTATCGGCTCTCTGCAACAAATTCTTCTGCTTCTGAGCAGCTGCTGCGACGGCGGCAGCAGTGGGTCCGCCGCCGCCTCCACCGCCTCTGAGCCCTCCCTTATTCATTACTCCGTATTACTAATTTATTACTCTGTATTAGTGTAATTAAAGCCTATCTTTGATCTTGAATTCAAATAAAACACGATGGGCGATTAGGGTTGCAAAAACATAGATAAAATTAGGTCACATGTTAAGCTAAAGACGACTCAAAGTGGTAAGACTGACAGACTGGTTAAGTGGTAACAATTTCTGGATGCATTAGTAAAAGTTTTAAGATTGTTTCTGAGAAAAATAATTAAAAATAGCCCAAATTTTGAAAAGGACTACATATAAAAAGTTAGCCAAACTTATATACGATAGTATATACACTCGAAGTTCATATAAAAAGTTATCTCAATCATAGTAATCAATGGCGAGATATGACGTGCGTCATATGCACCATCGACATGAGAAGGTGGTCGTTGTCATTGTGTGTCATATGCGACATCGCTATGTGCTATGAAAACTATGATCTTAGTATCATGATTATTTTTTTTTTCTTTCGCGATTGACATTGGGCTTCAGTCCACATGAATAATATCATCTTCGACCCAATAATTCTTTTTAAAAAGTGAATTTAGAAAAATGAATTATGTTTCCTTTTTTCTTTCACAATCGAAGTACATTGTTTGTCCGCCGAGAGAATCATTAATATGCGAAAGGGTTTGAATTCTGAAAGGAGTGAAAATACCTGATGGAATATATGGCTCAGGGACCCCCGACCCACATACTTCCACTATCACAATCAAGCCTAACAGGCCCAGGCGGACCAAGCCCAGCAGGATAGAGCTCTAAGCGGCCCACGATACATGAAGGGGTGCCTTCGGCCCCATGGCCGAAGGCTACCAGTGACGGAATTGGGCTCAGAAACATCATAGGAGAACAAGTCTGGAAAACCATGCCTTCGGCAATTGGAACCCTCGGCACCATGAGGCCCCCGGTACGCAGAGCCTTCGGACTGTCATCTACAGCCGAAGGCTCCCTCCTCGACAGAATCTCCCATCCACATGCGCTGGATCACCGTACCAAGTACAAACGTCGCATCCAACCACCGCATTTAATGTGGCCACATGCGAATGCCAATGCCACCCCGGTTGAGTTGACCCCTCGACCGCCATAATGCTGACACGTGTCCCTATCTAACATTTATTGCTACTATAAATAACACTCATTTCCCCCATTGTAAACCACGCTAAATACAACTCAAATACACATTTGAACTCTTTATCTCTCTTATTTACTTGCTCTGACTTCTCTCTAGGTTACTCCCTGCAGTAACCCCTCGGATAAACTACCCCCCGGGTACACTGTCCATCAATTGGTGCTCTCGTTGGGAGGTCGAACAATCAAGTAAGAAACCCTCCCCTTCTACTCAAAACACCTATCAAAATGGGAAGAACCACCCGTGCTCAGTCCAAGAACATTGAGGACAAACAACGTGGCCCTCAGTGAAGTCAACGCCCCCAGAGCCTCCAACAAGGCTCCCGAGGGTGGGGTCATCACTGAGCTGGAACAGGCTGCTGTTGACCTGCGCCTTCAGCTTTAGCAGAATGCTCCCGATGTCCGTCTTGGCATCGAAACCCGAAGGAGGGACCGGAACGAGAATCAAGTGAGCCCTCCGGTTCTCACCATTGACGTACAATCGACATTCTCCGCCTTCATCCCAACACTCACTCAAAATCCAGGTGCCTTCGGCACGCTGGTAACACTCCAGCCGCATGTCGGGGAGAACGCCATTCCTCCCCCTCCTCCGCCCCCTTCATGAGCCCTATCCTTCGCCTAGGGAACAACGAGTGGGTCATAGACCAAGATACCACATCCCAGGAGGTCCAATCCCGGGACCAACGTGGTGCGAACAAAGAGGGGCCTCGAACCTCTGCCCTCGAGAGACTCGGAGGGGCGCAAGACCGCCGAGGGGGTCCAAGACCGCCTCGGAGGAAAGGTGCTCCAAAGGCCTCAGGAAAGCGGAGGTTCCGTCTCAAGAGCAGACAAAAGGCGTCCCCCTCAGGACAAAGGAAAGGCATCACTCCATGCCGACGACGCAAGACATCGAATCAACCAGGCTCACTCGGCCCGTGTTTGTTTGCAGGGGGCGGAGGCCCTCCCGAAGGATCACATGGACGAAACCATTGAAGCCCTCCAACGCCGCCTTGATGAGATGGAGGCCCGTTAAGTGCACACAACCGCTTCCGCCTCCAAGACGGACCCCAAATACACCGCCATACTTGCCAAAATGGAGGAGATGCAAAAGAAAATAGCTGAGGGCTCCGGGGAACCCATCATCCAACTTCGGACTAGGACGCCATTTACCCCAAGGGTATTGGCGGCCCAGATTCCGGGAAAGAACCGAGGGCAACTCATCAAGCCCTACGACGGGAAGACTGACCCCCAGGAGCATTACAGCAGATATAAGAACAGGATGATGATGATGATGGTGGGGGCATCGGACGAATATTTGTGCCGTTGGTTCCTCTCCACCGTAGAGGGACCAGCCTACGAATGGTTCAACCGATTGCCCGAAGGCTGCATCGATTCATGGCAGGAACTCACCCAACGTTTCTTGACACAGTTTGCAGGGAGGCGCCGGTCAAGAAAACACTTCTCCCACTTGGTGACGGTGAGACAAAGAAAGGAGGAGACCCTTCGGGACTTCTTGGAACGTTGGAGGACGGAGGCAGATAAAGTTAACGGCGCTGACGATGGGACCCTCGTGACCCTCCTAGACCTCCTTCAAACAGTCCTCCTTGACCGTCACATGTTTATCCCGCCCCGCTGGGACAACAGATATCTTTTTCCCCTCTTTCTCAAGAGCCGCGCAACCCTCCGGCTTTATGTGCCTCCGGAAGTAATTCCTCAGCTCCCTCGGGAATGGGTTCTCCGCCATCCTGATGTAGCAAAAGCGGTCTTTCCAGCCCTGGTGAGACGAGGGCACGTCATCGAAGAGCCTCCACGGGGCGAGTTGTTGCAGGTTCGCGAACCCCTCGGAATTCGCATGCCCCCCGACAGAGATTGAAGCTTTGAAAAAATAACTCCAGGCTGGGAGTGCCCCCAGGACTTACAGAGATTCAGAAACCCGGCAATATAGGAGTGGCTATTCGGAGTAAGTTGGCAGGGGGCCAGGCCAACGTACCTAAGGTACTCTAAGAGGAAGGGATGCAATGGGAACCGAAGGCCCATCGAGACGGAGAGGATATGCACATCAAAGCACCCCCCAGGCGCCCGATACAGCACGTCGTCAGGCCCCGGTTGTACCACCGTCACCGAAGGCCCTACGTGCAGTTGTGTGACATAGCACTCGGCCGGGTCGGCTCTGGAATTCACCGCCAAGGCAGCAGTATTCAACCACGAATACCCCTCGGGAATCCCAACCGGTTTGCCTTGGTCGGCAGCACCTTTCTTCTTGGGAGCTCCCGCCTTCTTCGTCTTCTTCTTCCCGGGGGCTACCCTGAGAGGTGTCGGGTTCAAGGGCCGGGAGGTGCTGGCTTCACCAACATTGCGTGCAGGGAGGACATCGACGGTAACCTCCTGCCTCTCTTTCTCCTCCGCTTCCTCAGCAGTTTGAACGGCGAGGGCCAGGTCCTCGTCTTCATTTACTTGTTCAAAGTCCTCAGCCTCGACCTCAGCAACGAGCTCCTTCTGTAACTCCATGGCAACGGCAGAATCACCACCCACCGAAGGCTGCTCACTCGCGGACTCCACGTCTGAGATACCCTCCTCCTCTGCCGAGGGCTCCCTCAATATGTTTTGAGAATCACTTTGCGAAGACATCCTCGAGAACTAGGGGATGAGGGGTTCTAGAAATCGAAGGCTCCCTAAACAACTCTAGCACTTAGCCTAAGGGCGAAAATACGCTAAGGAACTCGAGAACGGGAGGAGCAACTGACCTTGGGAAGTAAGGCTCTAATCGAAGGGTTGTTTCTCTCTCTAGAAAAAATCCGGCAGAGCTTCGCTAACAATGAATCGCATAAGGGGAAAGGCTCAAGCCTTGGGGTATTTATAGGCACCCAAAATCGGGCTTAGGTCCAAAACCGGGCCTCCGGTTACGAAAGTCATCATTACACGCCGCCCCCTTCTGCCAATCGGTCCTATTGCAAACGGCTAGCCAACAACCACGAGCCACGTGGAAGTCCTCTCTAACGGCTACATTTTACACGTTCCATATTCCAACGGTCCTATTGCAAACGGCTATATTTCGAAAACACAGGGGTGCTCTCGGTCGGTACCCCTCATACAACATCACAAGTGCCTTTGGGCTTTTTCCTTCACGAGCCCACGGCTTAACAACGGGTAAGCCCCTCGGGAACCCTCAGCCCTCAATGCATTGAGGGCCAGGAAAACTCGGGGGAGCACACCTTCATCAACTGTCCCCCCGACCACGCAATAAGGAGACCCCTCGGGGACATCAAATTTAAAACCCCTCTTAGGTGGACTGCCTTCGACATACAACAACGGGACCCCTCGGGTGCCCTCATCCCCAGCTTATCAACAGCTAGAGAATCCCCCCGACAACACAGCAACTACCACTTACATTCATCACGCCATCAGACAAAGATAGCCCTCGACGTCAATACTGTCATCCATTTCGAACCAAGGTTTCAATTTTTCGATTCATCGTTAGGGGAATTCGGTGCACTCTTTTTCCCTCATTGGAATTTTTTCCCACAGAGTTTTTTGTAATGAGGGTTTTAACGAGACATCCCCCCAAAATGAAACGAAAAGCGTCGGCCTTCGGCAACATGATAACAGCGGGCACTACTCTACTCCTCTTCACCACATTACATGTGCCTCAAGGTGTGGGGGACTGGAGAACCCCTCCGGGAACCAGGAAAATCAAAATGCTAAAAAATTATTCTCACAAAGCATCAACACCCTTCAGTCCCAAAATATGGGGGAATGAAGGGCTGCCCTCGCCAGAATCGTGTGCAAACGCAAAACCTCACACAGGTTTACAAACTACAACAAGGCAGCATCAGAGAACAAACGCATTTTACTCCTTTTCCCTCAAGTACCTTTCGGCAAAAGGAGTGAGGGACTCCTGATGGAGTATATGGCCCAGGAACCCCCGATCCATAGACTCCCACTACTATAGCGAAGGCCCAATAGGCCCAGGAAGCACAACAAGCCCAAATCACAGCGCCCCAAGTGCCAAACATCCCGCGACGAACGTGTGGGTGCCTTCGCCCCCATGACAGAAGGCTTATAAACTCGCAGAACAGCTGTTTTAGGCAAACGAAGGTACTGGGAGAAAACGGCGTAAAAGAGTAGCCCTCGGTACCTAGATCCCTCGGCACACAGAGGCCCCCGGTATGAAGAGCCTTCGGCCGATCATCTACGGCCGAAGGCATCTCCTCGACAGAATCTCCCACCCACATGCACCGGATCAACGTACCGAGTACAAACGTCACATCCAACCAACGTATTTAATGCGGCCACATGCGAGTGCCAGTGCCACCCCGTTGAGGTGACCCCTTGACCACCAGAATGATGACACGTGTCCCTATCTGGCATTTATTACTACTATAAATAGCACCCCTTTTCCCCATTTGTAATCCATGCTCAATACGCTCAACACATTCTCAGCAATATATATTCTCTCTCTTACTTCTGCTTTGACTTCTCTCTAGATACTCCCCGCAGTAACCCCTCAGATAGATACCCCCCCCCCCCCCCCCCCCCGAGTACACTTATCCATCTAATGTGAATTGACTGAAATAAACAACCTACCAAGATTTCAGACTGTGCACATCAGAATTGATGAATAAAAGATTTCGCCCAGTTAAAACTCCATATTAAAGATCTTTGAATTTAATGAGACAATCTCACCTTTTGTTTGAAGTCACATCAATAAAAAAGTCGGCATTAATTGCTACAGACGGCCAACACATAACTAAACCAGCTTGCAAAGTACCCGACCCATATATGACCCGTGACTTTAGGCGGGAAATTTGCTTGCATTTCCACTTAGCTTTGTATATTGTATAGATTCTTTCAATATGTTCCGAACTGAACTGAACCGAAACCGATAAAACCCAACCTAAAATCGATATGTCCACCCTATCGGAAATGATGGAACAACTACAACAACAATAGGACTAATATTAATAACCATAACACCAACAAGGCAACAACAACCATAATAAAAAACATTAACTTTCAAGCTTGCAGGAAAGATGGAACTAATAGGAAAGATGGAACTAATAGAATCCTACTATATACAAACGGACCCAAACATTAAGAGGCCGCTTGGCAATACTTTTTTCGGCTTATGAGGCTTATCAATCAACTTTTTCACCAAACACGTAGCTTTTTCTTTCGGCGCTGAATTTTGTAATAAGCAGACAAAGTAAGATTGAAGTTACTTTTCTGACTGTATTGGCTGAAGTTACTGTAGATGACCATTTTAGCTATTTTTACATATAATTTTTTCTTTATTTTATTAATAAAATATATTTTATAATTATTTTTTTCTTAAATCAGCAGAATCAGGCAATGCAGTCACTTGACCACTTCAGCCAGAACTTCACAAATTTCAGCAGAATCAGCCAAATCAGCCGATTTCGGTGCCATCAAATAGGCTCTAAAATGTAAAAGCATTCGGATATCAAAATGAGATTAAAAAAAAATTGGATAAAATGGATCTAACCTGGTCAAGGTAATCAGTCTAGGATAGTGTGGTGCAGTGGTGCTTTGGAATTTGAAAAAAAAAATTACTCCGTATGTCATTTCACATCTGCTATCTTTGTCATCTGAAAAGTGAAGAAAGGGAAGATCGTGATTTAAGTTCAGCTCTATACCCGTAAACTCCTCTCTCATGGGTCTTGAGAGCGGGACATAAGATTGCCGAGTGGCAAAGGAAGGGATCAGAAGCTGTGCAGCAGGCGAGCGGGAGTGTCGGACTGTGGGCGCCGCCGCTATCAACAGTTCAGCTGGGCCGTCAGGGAGAGTAGCCGGGCCGCCAGGCTGACGCAGGCGGCAGATGGCACGATGCGACACAGTGGCGGTGGACAGCAAGGGATGGCCAACAAGGCGACTGGCGGACTGGTGGCGTCTCTGCGGCTTGCGGACTTCACAAAGAAGTAGACGGATACCGTTTCACTTTGTTTGGGGTTTCTGGAATCAGCGTACAAGTGAATCTAAAATTCTGCAGGTCAGGAGTTTTACATTTGGCTATACCTCTTAATTTGACAGTGAATTTTTTTATTCCGTGTAAAGGCTTTTCTGTGCGCACCAATAAGCGTTGGATCTGCAGCAACAAGAATATTATATTTCAACATCCTGGTGTGATGTATCATAAAAGCTGTGATTTTTATTTATGTTCTGAAAATAAAGATTGAGGTTGTTCTTTCCTTTCCTTTTATTTTATTTTATGTTTCTTTGATGAATGTTATATTTCTATCATGAAGATGGATGTCATTAAGTTGCAGCAGAATGATAAAGGTGAGTAAACATTATACTGAGCTAGATATACTTGAAAACTTTGTAAGGAATTCTCTTACATATTATGATACTACAGACTTTTATTTTCTGAAAGTATCATATTCTTTGAATAGTGTATATAACACCTAACAATTTTCAGCGCAAATGAATTTATTTGGCTCAATGATGCCATGAAATTGCTCTTCTATTTCTCCCAGGGCCCTCACCATCAACGTTAGATGAACTGTCCATGTCCGCCGAAGAACTCTAAGCCAGAAGTCCCTATTTCTGTTGTTGCATTTTCTGAACTGGATTTAGGAGCTTGAGTTCACCGAGGGAAGAACTCAAAGCCTAATGACCTTGATTCATTCTTTCTAGAGGAGATGGATGCTTATGAGTGGTGAACCGATCAGCTAGACAATTGTATGGTTGATACTGCGAACGGTTAACAGCCTCTCGCCATGAAATGTCCATCACGAGCAGAAGTTCAATCTGCCCACCAGGTGCTCACTCGCTTGCGAGTGTTCCAGCCTTCCTGGAATCAAAGCTTCTCGCGTATGAAGAGGTATGCATTTGAAAATGTCTTATTACTCCTATATATGTAAAGAAGCAGTTTACAGCTTAAATTTTGACATGAGAATATGAGATGAATACATCCTTATGGAGGATGAATACATGTATACCACGTTCTCAACTAAATTAGACCAATGAATATACAATTAAGTGTAAGAAATAAGTAAGAAATTTATATCGTCAAACTGTAAAATGCATGGAGATATATTTTGTACACTAATCAACTATTTGAAATGACTACAAAAAATACTTCTCCCTCCGTTCCTATTTTATCTTCCAAATAGGTTTGGCACACAATTTAAGATAGTGGTATTGTGTGGTGGAGAGTTGTGCAGGGGAGAGAGAAATGTGTAAGAAATGTTGTGAACCACAAATTCTTTACTAAAAAGGGAAAGTGGAAGTTTTAATTGGAACGGACGAAAAAGTAAAGTTGGAAGTTTTAATAGGAACGGAGGGAGTATTTGAGATGGGGTACAACTTAAGTTGGATTTCTTGTCCAACCATATTCACTATTTCTTGTACAACAGGATAGGACTACCCCGTGCTCGATGTTGAGATATAAGCGTGTAGCTGCCCGGAAGTTGACTGAGTTCCTTGTATTTAGAATCAGGGATGATCCCTCATTTGATGATATTTTTCAACATATGGAACCTGCTGCTATGATGAGGTTCTTTCTACTCCATAATGCGCTAATAATAATAATAGTATTAATAATACTAATAATAATAATTATAATAATATAATAAAATATAATAATACTAATAATAGTTTCTGGGACTGTTTCTATAAATTATGCGGTCATTCTAAATTTCCAATATTTTTACCATCTACTTTCTATCTTTCCTATTATTCAAGGAGTGCCTCGAGTATTTTAATAGGCTACTGGGCGAATGAAGAAGCGATTCTTCCATTGGTTTATGCAATGGGAGCTCGTGCTTTTGGAGTGAAGAGATTTGGCTCAGGAGAGGCTTGTATTAGTAATGTAAAGGTAATCATCTCAACTCTCAAGTATCATTTATGCTGATCAGTGCCAATTCCTTTAGAATTTCTTTTCTCTCACTTTCTCAATATCCTTGATATTATACGTTGATCATTGTCTCTTCGTTCTTAAGTATATCCGTGATTTCTACTGTTGATTGTTTCTGATTTGAGATGCATTTTATTTCCCGAAGCCCAGTCTGATATTTTCCCTGATGATTGTATTTAATAATAACTTTTTAGGAAAAGGAACATGATCTTGTCCCTGGAGAAGAGAGACCTGTGAATAAAATTTGCATGGAGTCTCCATCTTGCACTATCATTGCTGACCTTTCTCAAGTATGTATAGCCACCCACGATTTTGGCTATGATAATATGGAAGATGTTGAGTAGTTAGACATAGTACACTTTCTGTGTTAACACTTCCTATGCAGTCTTATTTTGGCATTTGTTGTGTGTTTTTTCCCACATCAAATATTACCTTTCACAATATCTGTAAGGCATAGGCATTTTTATTGTCTCTTTCAAATCATTTATTGGAAATATTTTTCATGATTTTTGGGCTTTGTTTGCAATTTTGCATGCATACCATGCACATTCCTGTATTTGAAGATTCTCTTAGTATAGTATACCAAATTGCTGCCAAATTGACCTGTCAGTTTCACCTTGTGCATTATTATAAGTATGGAAGAATTTATTTTGTTTTAGTTTGTTTGGTTAAGCTTTTAAGTTAACCCATGCTGGATGCTTCGATCAAGAAACTGGCTGACCAATTAATAAAGTTTCCAGAAGCAGTTCTCCTGGCGGAAGAACTCCTGGAATCTCTGAAGGATGCTGTTCCGTTAAGACTCCCCCCATATCTCCACTATCTTGAAAGGCATAGATCTGCAGCACTAGGATTTTGGTTTGCTCCTGTCATCATCCTGCACCTAATTAAGGAATTGAAAGAGGTATTTCTGGTTTCTTCATGTTTATTTCTGCTAAAAAACCACTCTATAATTGATTAGCATCCTTAACTAACCCTTCATTTAACAGTCCACTGCACTATTCAACACTCTTAACAAGTACTCCCTCCGTTCCGCAATTAAGTTACCACTTTTCTTTTTGGGCAGTCCCTAAATTAAGTTCACACTTTCTTACTTTCCTTATTTGGCAAATTATCTACATCAAAACAGTGTCAAACAGTGCAAAACAGTGTCAAACAGTGTTGGAACAGTGCAAAATAGTGCACTCCACAGTAAAGTCAAATTTATTTTCTTAATATGTGTGAAGTCAAACCGGGAAGTTAATTGGGAGACTGAGGGAGTATATAAAGGGAGCACATCTTTTACGATGTCAGGAACGAATGACTCGTATACAAAAAGATCCCTTGCTGGGAATCTGGGATTGATTCTTGAGAGCGATAATGTTATTAAGATAAGGTTTGTATATGCCACCCCTGCCCGCCAAGAAATGCATGATTTATCATGTTGTGGATTTATTGATGCTCTCTCTAAGATAGGATGAAATGTGATTGGTAATTGATAGTTTGTTAGGTTATGTTTCAAGTTTCATATGTCGGTTTGTTGACCAAACTTGTATTAGATCAGTCCCCAAAAAATCACGTTTGACCAATGTGTTTATTGTACTTTTCGTGTCATACAAGTGTACAACTCTCATAAATCATGAACCATGTTTATTTCTTTCAAATCTATTTGTTGGATCAAGTATCCTTAACCTATTGTGTGCGCCTTTTTTCACATTTTTGGCGAATTACAAGAAAAAATGTATGGAGTATTTGTTTGGTTAAAGTTGATTCTTCTTTGGAGACAAAAAGTTCTTGAACCATGACTCTTGTTTACTGGACATGAGAGAGTAGTGGATATGCAAATGACAGAAGATCTGACAAAATTGTTTTTATGCTCTAGCCCACTGTTTTAGTGTATTACATGAAATGGATGTATAGACCCTCTAGCCTTGGCATGTCTTTGCTTTTGAAACACATGTGAGAACATTTATATACATACATTAATTGGTCTTCTTTCTCAATTCTGAATTGCACATTGGTGTTGCAGCAACGTTTTCTCCATTAAGACAATTATCATCATTAGTTTCATTACTGATATGTACTTTATGTTTTCGTTTTTTAGGGGAGCCTTGAGTATTTTATTCGGATACTGGAGTGATAGTGACGTATCTATGCTGGTTCCAATGTTAATTTCTCTAAAAAATAGAAACGAGGCATTTGGTGATGTTGACTTAATGGAAGAGAATGTTGAATATCTATATTATTTTATTCGGATACTGGAGTGATAGTGACGTATCTATGCTGGTTCCAATGTTAATTTCTCTAAAAAATAGTAACGAGGCATTTGGTGATGTTGACTTAATGTGGAGGTACTGTTCTAGTACATGTTTTGTGACAATTTTGAAATGCCGAAGCAAACATTTGATGCTTTAGAACTCCACTACCCCTCTCAAAATATTTCATTTTGGTTACCTAGAAGTTTCGTCTCTGAACTGTTTGAGTTAAAAATATTTTTTCTTTTTGATGACCAGGATTTGAAGAATGTGCTAGCTGATAACTACTTTGAAGATTCGGTGGAGTATACAGATCTATTTGTAAAGGTAAATTATACGCAATCATGGCTTCATTATTTTGGCACATTATATTTCTATGAAATACCATATCAATTAACAACAAAGAACTATCTGTAATCAACAAGAGTCCGAAATCTGTCAAAAAGGACATCAACTCCAAAATAGGCAGCTTGTTGTTATCTCTGAAATGGTCTCACTCACTAGAGAAGAGGATCACTGCCTTCTGTGTGCTTCTCCCGGGTGATTACCCCTGTTGCTTTGACATCTTTTTGAGTAATATGGCAGTTACAAACCAACCAAAGAAAACAAAACTCCTGCCCTTCAATTTCTCCAAAAAGGAGCCAAACAAGCTAGTACCCACGTGATATTCATTAGTGGGCCAATAAAGAGACAAATCCAAAAATGAACCCATACGGCCACTATACTTTGGAATATAACCAACTAGCTCCTTTCCACATATATTTATATTTTTAATATAAATGTAATTTAAAAATAGTGAAGAAAAAATTGTTGGCCGGACCCATACTTTACAGGATTATGATTGACAGGTGTAAACTTATGAGAAACAAATGTGCCTATATTTGTCCACGTGTGTGGATGGATAAACAATGACCGTCCTGTTTATTTATTTTATTTATTTAAAGGCATCAATGCATCATAAAATGATGACCACCCGCAAGAGAAAAGGGTGTTCCATGCACGGAGCGGCGATAAACAGAGGGTAATCGAAGGGACTAGGATTGTGGAGGCGGATGCAATAACAAGTGTGTTCGCTTCAAAGGTATTTGCTTCATAATAAAATCATAATAGCAATACTGTGTAGTGAGTATCATTATCAAATCAAATGATAAAAACTCTTTCCTTTTGGAGATGTTTTCGCTAGAACGATGGTTAATTGCTTTTTTCGTTAATTGGGATTGTTTCAGCTTCTTCCAAAAATCCCAACGTATAGTTTACTGTACATACTAAAGCTAGATAGATCCGTACACATATCAAACCTCGAGTGTTTTACAATATCCTGAGATTTGGTTCAGCACATTTACTAACAAACAAACAAAACTCTTTTCATTCTCCAATTGCGTGTAAGGCCAACAATGATGGTTGCCTTATGAATAAATCCAACAATTTTTTTACATTGACCAGTATAGTAGCAGGAGAATCTTGAAGCAAGCCATATGATGTTGGTTCATCTCCAATTGTAAGCAAATCATCCCCATTTTCATATATCTTTCTTTTCTCCCTTCAGAGCTTTAAGGAAAACACTTGTACAAAGCTTTAGCCTGTGGACTCGAATCTTCTTTTCCTCTAGAAGCACAAAGAACAACAATTACAGTATAAGAGGAAGGAATCAATTGCTATTGCCAATTTATTTACCTGGAGCTGCATAATACTCTAAGCAATTACGAAACAACCCCATCAAAACCATGCATGAAACATATATACATATTTATAGAGTAGTAAAAACATAAAACTAATTCCAACAAAATTACCTGATCTATTTCAACCTTGAGCTTTCACCTGTTATAAAAAATTATATAAATTAATTTATGATGCTTAGTAAAATATAATACGAATTAGTTGTAATTACAAAAATATATACCTCGATATCTTGTCGTTTTTTGACCTCCTTCCTTTTTTGGATTTGATTTCCCCCTAGAACTTCTTTCGTCATCGGTCTCAGACCGTTCCTGCTTAATGATCCCAACATACTCTTGTACGTCTCCAATTGTAGCAAACAACATATTTTCTGCTCCAACTTTTATGTTGTAATTCGCACTTTTAAATTCAAACTATCTCTTACTCCTGATATGCTTCCCTCTTTGCTATTTTGAATAATAATCCGACATTTTGTTCCATTTATCGACCACAGTATCCATCCAAAACTTATCACGGTCTGTTAGAACCATGTTAATACCTCAGAAACACCCCCACTTTCCTCCAATTGTGTATAATGTGCTCTCTAATCGAATTTGATCTCGTTGCTTCGCAAAAAATCATTATGATTATGATGAGACTGGCTGCTATCTTTTTTCGATGCATACTTAAATCTACATTCGTTTTTAGCATTGATAAAAAAACTATCAAGTTGATAACATCATTCTTTGCTTTTGTAATCTCATCCAGTGAAGCAATATTGGATGCACTTAGTAAACTCCTGTGAGAAATCGTTATTGGCAGTGCACTAGAATCACCTATGTCAATTTGGCTCTCTCCTAGGTTAAACCAATCCCTAGCACTATTTCTAATACCAATCAAGTAGATGTCGTGATAAACTTACCCATACAATTGTATTCTCTTGTATTCTGTTCACAAGAAAAGTTCACATGTATTTATTTTCATTTTTTTTTTCATTTGCAAGAGGGTTAAGGAGTACATTTATATTGACAATTCTCCTTCCAACCTCTAAGATATCTCGCCAATCAGTTACAAAAGCACCACAACCTTCTGTAGCACGGGAAACATCAAAAGTAGACTCTTGCTCAAAAGAATTTGGATTATTGAGATTCTGCGAATAATCTCATTTCAATTTAAACTAAATCAGTGCACTAACAACATTAAACTTTCACCAATTACCTTATTGTGAATACATTTTATATGTGTGGGCAACACTTTGAAATACACGTATATATAGTGGAAAACCGTACGATTCAGTTGAGTCCTTTGCCTTTAGGTCCAACAAAAAAAAATTTCAAAATTCGGGTCCCAAAGTCATAAAAAAGGTCAAACATGACATTTTGGGGCTGAGGAGAGTGGGAGAGGGTTTGGTATACTTTCTAATAAATTACAAAAGTCTAACAAATATTACTACACAAAGTTTCATACCAATTAAAAACTGCATGAATGAATGATTTTCCTAAGAGCATAATAAATTAGAATAAAATCCTGAAAGTTGGAAGGAACACTTTCCTTATTTCTTGAAAGTGTGGAACAATTCAAAATTATATATGAACAAACACACACATATAGGCAGGCACGTACTAAATTACTAATCAATATACCTCTTGTTTATGATCCATTTTCTTGGTCAACAGATGTAACATGTCAGACAATATAATGTAAAAAAAAGAATGCTGATTAAACATGCTTCAAATTGAATAAATTTGTTTTTATTTATAAAAACTATACAACTTGTACTCCAGGCTTTGACAAGAAAACTAATAACAGTGTAGGCAAAATACTAGGTTTGTACTTTGTAGTGAATATTTTAACCATCTGATGCACGTTTTATTAGTAAACTAATGTTGAGTAACTCTGTCTCTGTTTTCATGTTATAGGAAAATGCTTTGTAGTGAATATTTTAACCATTTGATTCTACTGATTTATGAAAAAATTATATTTAAAATACTTGTTGTTAATAAATACAATAAAAAAATATATGAAAAAGGAGCTAAAATGATACTTTACAGTAACTTCAGCCAATACAGCCAGAAAAGTAACTTCAACTTTACTTTTTCTTATTATTACGCAATTCAGCACTGATTTAGTTTATGATCCAATCACGAAAAGGTAATTGGAATGAGATTATTTGCAGAATCTCAATGATCAAAAATTCTTTTAAGCAAGAGTCTACTTTTGATACCACCCGTGCTACAGAAGGTTATGATGCTTTTGTAACTGGTTGGCGAGATACCTTAGGGGTTGGAAGGAGAATTGTCAATATAAATGTACTTTCTAAACCTCCTGCAAATTAAAAAAAATGCAAATACATACATGTGAACTTTTCTTGTGAACAAAATGCAAGATAATACAATTGTGTGGGTAAGTTTTAATACTACGACCGGTACTTGATCGGTATTAAGAATAGTGTTGGGGATTGGTTTAGCCTAGGAGAAAACCAAGTTGACACAGGTGACTCACTGCACTACCAATAACGGTTTCTCATAAAAGTTTACTAAGTGCATTCAAAATTGCTTCATTGGATGAGGTTCCAAAAGCAGAGAATGATGTTATCAACGCGATAGTTTTTTTAATCAAAACTAAAAACGAATGTAGATTTAAGTATGCATCGAAAAAAGATAGTAGCCAGTCTCATCATAATCATCATGGTTTTTGCAAAGCAACCGGATCAAATTCAATTAGAGGACATATTATGCACAATTAAGAGGAAAATGGGGCTGTTTCGGAGGTATTTAAAGACATGGGTTCTAAGTGACCGTGATAAGCTTTGGATGGATACTTTGGTCGATAAATGAAACAAAATATCAGAGATTCTTATTCAAAATAGTAAAGAGTGGAGCATACCAGGAGTAAGAGAGTTTGAATTTAAAAGTGCTATGTTACAACATAAAAGTTGGAGCAGAAAATAGGTTGCTTGCTCCAGTTGGAGACGTACAAGGGGAAATTGGGATCATTAAGCTGGAACGGTTCGAGGCCGATAAAAAAGCAGTTCTAGAGGGAAATCAAATAAAAAAAAGAGATAAAAAAACTGCAAGATATTAAGGTATATATTTTTCAAATTTTGTAATTACAACCACTTCGTATTATATTTTACTAAGCACCGTAAACTAATTTCTATCATTTTTTAATAGGTAAAAACTCAAGGGTGAAATAGATCGGGTAGTTTTTCTAGGAATTAGTTGTGTTTTTCCTCTACAGTAATGTATATATGTTTCATGCATGGTTTTGATGGGGTTGTTTCGTAATGACTTAGAATATTTTGCAGCTCCAGTTGACTAAATTGGCAATAGTCATTGATTCCTTCCTCTTATACTGTAATTGTTTTTTGTGCTCTAGAGGAAAAAAAGATTTGAGTCCACATGCTGAAGCTTTGGCTTACAATAAATCGTTCTGGCGAAAACATGTCCAAAAAGAAAGAGTTTTTATCTTTTGATAATGATACTAACTTCACACTATTGCTATTATGATCTTATTATGAAGCAAATACCTTTGAAGTTTCACCCAGAAGCGAACACACTTGTTATTGCATCAACCTGCACAATCCCAGCCCCTTCGATTACCCGATGCTTATCGTCGTTCTCCGCAAGGAACGACCCTTTTTTCTTGTGGGTGGTCATCATTGTATGATGCCTTTAAATATATAAAGCATGCGGGTCATTGTTTATCCATCCACAAATGTAGGCACATTTGTTCCAACTTCAGGAGTTTGTAGGCAAAAATCATAAGGCACAAAATGCTAATTCATAGTGGGTCTACAAAAAATAACTTTAGTTGAACCAATTTTATTTTTCCTATAACCAAAGTGTCGAAGAAATTGACTCTCTCCTACCGGTAGGAAAAGGGGCTACAAGGGTAAAATAAATCTTGCTGCTGACTGTACCGTGCGCACAGTTCGGGCTTTTTGTTCGTTGTGTACTGCGCGTTGTCCCTCGGATCTCCGCCTTCACCTTGAATCTCGTCTCTTCCTTGCCGATGACCTTCGCTCGTCTCTTGGATCTGCGCTAGGCATGGACTCGGGCCGGGCCTAGGCCCGGTCAGACCGCCGGTTTGTAACTCATGGCCCCGGGACCGGCCCGAGGTTTGGACGGGTCCGGTTCAGGCCGGGCCACCCGCCCGGGTCACGGGTCGGGTCACCCGCCAGACCGGGCCGGTTAAAACCAATTTTTTTTATAATTTATACTTTATAGTTTTATACAAGTATTAAAAACAAACTTCAAGTGCATTTATTTGAAATGAAATAGGAACTACATTTAAAAATTAAGAGAAACATATAATATGAAATACATTTTGTAAATTGTAATCAATCGGAACTTCCCGCACCTCCCGATCCTTTGGTTTTGTCACATGACCTAATATGCTTCATTGACATCCCGTATCTGCCTGGAACTCCCATGCTACACTTTTTCCCGCATCATTTGCAAGTTGCGTATCACATCCCGATCCTCGGGTCCTGCTTATCAAAATTATACCGTATAACGGTATATTGACTTTCCATCTTAAAAATGGTAGATATAATAATTCTACAATAGATGGAGATGAAGATGGAGAATGGAGATTAGAGATTGGATGTTGGAGAAGATGTGTATAAAAATGTTAGAAAATAAGAGTATTTATAGAATTTTTTGTACAATAGAGTTTGGGTTGTCCCCAGCCCACCCCAACGGTCATCTTTGGCCCAAAAGATTTTTTTTTTAAATATAGCCGTTGTGACCCGGACCCGGGCTTGACCCGGCCGGGCTGGGTCACATTTTGCATGAACCGAGCCCGCCCTCGCTTCCCCCACTGGTTCGGGTTCACACTCGGTCCCGGACCGCCAGTCCGGGCCGGTCCAGGGCCCGCACAGTAGTGGGCCGGGCTGGGTCACGGGCCGGGTGGCCTGAACCGAGTCCATCCCTAATCTGCGCACGACGATGGAGGCTATGGATGGGTTGCGCAGATGCAGCGAAGATAGGTTTTGCGCGCTCTGTTCCCTCTTTCCTTTCCTCTTTCTATTTCTCTTACACTTATTTTTGAGTTTGGTAGCTTTTGGGTTAGGGGAAACCTAAGTTGTACGTGGTTTTAAAGATATGAGCATACATAAATAAAATTTTGAGTATGGTAGAGATTTTAAATGGGTCTAAAAGAAATGAGTATACGCCTAAAAGAAATGAACTCACACAAATTAATATTGAATACATTGAAAATGAGTTTTATGTTAAACTGAAATAAGTATAAAACCCAAAATGAATGAGCATACACTCATTTTGTGTTTAAGTATGCTCATTTGGTATTGCTTTACGCTCATTTGAAAATGTCACACATTTCAAATGTATCATACTACATTATGTTTTACTCAAGTGAGTATAAGTCCAAAATGAATGAACATACATAAATGAGCTTTTGAATTTTTGATACTCATTTTGTAAGTTACGTATTGCAAATTTTATAATATTGCAAATTTCAAACATATCATACTATATTAGATTCACATATTAAAATTAATTGGAAATGATATAAACATAATTTAAGAGTTTTTTATATACGAAAAGAATCATAAAAAGAAAGCGAATTCAAAGATATGAAGCAGAGAACATTGATGCTCATTTTTTGACTCCAAATACTCAAAAGAACAGGCCTGATGATCAACGAAATTGCGTTGATGCTCATTCAAGAAAAACCGTGTTTTTTACCAAAATTACAAACATGCCATCAGCTATACGGCTGGAGTGTTTCCCGTTCAACTCCAAGAAAAGACTAGAAATAGAACATCATTTTCTTTTCATCAGTGTATTATCTGTTAAAACAAACAAGTAAAAATAAATTAAATTTTTAATTTATTTTAGCATCAGATATTTTTTCTCTCTTTTAACTCTCTTCTATCTAACGTGTTCGCGGTTTAAGGTTCAATCGGAATTAGAATCAGAATGGCCCGTTTTTTAACCAATATACCATGAGGTTTAGATCGAGAAGTTCACTAGTCCAAATCGGTCCTTTGAAATTTTGGAACGAAAACTACCGGTTACGGTTCAGCAGAATCAGATGGTTTTGATTTGGAACCGTTTTTTTATTAAATAAATAAGTAAATAAATAAATAATTAAAAATAATAATTTTAATAGTAGTTGTTGTAGTAATTGTCCTAACAATAAAAATAATAAATCAGTCTTCACAATTTATAACTAATAAATTGTGATTATTAGTTAGTAATTTTTAATTATTACTGGTTATAAGTCTTAAATGTCACAAATTAGAGTTATAAAAATACATAATTTAAGAATCACTAAAGTAATTTAAAATTACTAACTTCTCAACTTGTACTAGAATTTGGCGAATTAGCCCATATGATTTAAATAGTGCGTCAAACTCCTCCGTGTTATCATTACGGATGCACAAAACCCACTCTAAGAACATATTTTACAATTTTAAAATATTTTTCTTAAGAAAATAATATGATTGAATATGCAAGTAACTTTGTCAAGATTTCTAAATTATACAAAAATATTAATTATTTTCATTTATTTGGAAATTAATATAAATTTGTTCATTAAAGGAGTTTTTGCGCGTTAATAACCACTCCTATAACACAAGGGGGTTTGTCGCTTTTCTTAAATCAGAGGGAGTTAATGTATCGAATTTATATTTCACGAGTGAGTTTGGTGTATTAAACTCCACACAATGTTTAGTACTTTTTGTGTGCTACTATGTGACACTTTCTTTCTTTCTTGTGTTGAATATTATCACATAGGAGTAAAATAGTGTCAAAGTAAGACTTACGAGTATTTTTTTAATTCCTAAAATATAAGTAATTATTTGTGATTGGATAAAAACACTCTTATAGTGGGTCGAGTTTGGTCACTGGGTTGGCACCGCTAATTGCTAGATCAGTGGCCACATCGGGCCGCCGCCGGGCACCATACCAGTGGCCACACCCGTCCGCCGCCGTCGGACTACCTTGGCTATGATGGGTGAACTAGGGGGAAATTGATTATTTTAAGGATATAAATCTAATGTTTAGGCCTATTTAGAGGATACAAAAACATGGATTCCTATTTAGAAACTTTAATCATGTTTCTAAATAGGAATTGTAAGTTAATGTCATATACTACGATTGACACTAATTATAAGTTAATGCCTCCCGATAAATGGGTAAATGACACATTTCCTTCCGAATTGATTTGTGTACTTCAAATCTCGATTTTGCTGGCTATTAATATATTCAAATTTGTTTATACAGTTATATATTTTAGAATGTTAGATTAAAAACATAAACGTCTTGTTTTTAAATTTGTGCAATTCTAGATTAGATTATTTATTCGAACTAGTAACATGTTCAATACAAGTACTACTCCCTCCGTCCCTATTTACTTAGCCAAACTTGACTTTTCAAATCAACGACGTCTAACTTTGATCGATTATATGTTTATATAGAGAAAGTATTGATAATATGAAAATGATATGAAAATGTTCTTTGTTAAAAACACTATCATAAAAGTATAAAATTATTAAATTTTGCATAAATATATTAGCTTAAATATTTGGTCAAAGTTAGAGGCCGTTGACTTGAAAAGTCAAGTTTGGCTAAGTACATTGGGACGGGTAGTAGTAAACTTGTTATACGTAGATCATTGTATCTTCATATTTCAGTATATGATTTCTACTTTTTTATTGTTGCTGATTTGAGATGCATTTGATTTCCCAAAGCCCAATCTGATATTTTCCCTGATGATTATATTGACTAATAACTTATCAGGAAAATAAAATTCATCTTGTCTCCGGAGAAGAGAGATCTATGAATGAAATGTGCATGGAGTCTCCATCTTGCTCTACTGCTCTGATAATATGGAAGAAACAGACTATTCGTATTATGCATACACTTATAATTTTTTTTCCCAAAAAAAGGAGATGAGGTCTTATTAGTAGATCTTGAGTAGTTAGTCTTATTCTGGCAATAGTTTGTTTTTTTCCCCACATGGTCACATCACAATATCAAATATTACCGTTGACAATATCTTTAAGGCACAGGCATTTTTGTCGTCTCTTTCACACCGTTTATTGGAATTATTTTTCATGAATTAGGGATTTATTTTCATGCATACCATGCACATTCCTGCATTTGAAGATTCTCTTAGGGAGTATATTATACAGTACCAAATTGACATGTCAGTTTTTATCATTTTTATATAGGGATAAGGCTCAAATTAGACACTATGGTTTCATCAGAATCTCATATTGGACATTAAGGTTTCAAATGGACCAAATTAGACACTATGGTTTCATATGTATCTCATATTTGACACTAAAGTTTCATAATTCAATATAAGTGAGTGTCCCATTTGATCTTTATCCAATATAAGTGAGTGTCCAAAAACTATGAATTATGAAACTTTAGTATCCAATATACCTGCTGAAAGTTACAAACTATTTTTGATTTCACACATTAAAATTACTAATGATTAATTAAAATAATAATAATAATAATATGATGAAGACTTGATCTGCAGACTGCTTTTTGTTCCTTCTGAGCCACGCCCTCATGGACCTCATGGATTCTCATGATGTATAAAATGGCATAATTATAAAACAAATACTCCCCGTGTCGTGCTACTTTGTGCTTCATATGGCTACAGACCTCATATTTTTATGTTTTCCCATGTATTTGTTTCATTGTGATATGCCGTTTTAAAATATTTAAGTCTTGATGGGTTCGCCCGGTCAACCAAGACTGGCCCCGAGATGCCAGTTCGGCCATTCGGGGACCAGACCGGTCCATCCCTAAAGTCAACGAGGAGATTAAGTTTCTTTATAAAAATAACCAAAATTAATACCATGAAATACAAAGCATGTAAAGTAAGCAATTATGTTTGGATGTTCAACCATTTGATTCATGGTTATCATCACAGGGAAGCATACAATTACTTCTCAGGGCAGAAGAGTAGTAATGGGATTCAAGTTCTTTAAGGGTAGCAGCAGCCTCCTCTCCAACCCCAGCTAATACCCGGTCAGTCTTCTCGGCAAGTTGGTTGAATTCTTCAGTTCTTTGCTCCACATGGTCGTTTAAGGAAGCAAATCCAGAAAAGATGGCTATTTGTTTCAACTCCGAAACCAACTTTAGCAACGAGTCAGCTGCCTGAACCTGTGTTTATTCATTGAAGAGATCTAGAACAACCACATGAATATTTGAACAACAAAGAAGAAAATCCACTCAAACCAAGCAGGGTTTATATTGTGCCTACAAAACTTCAACTATGCAAAAAAACTTGATCTGGGAAGAACTAGATTCTCACCCGTGCAATGCACGAGATTTTTTTAGTAACTATGTATTATGTATTATTATTTGCTTAAGATAATAATAATAGTACATGATAGTTTTGAAACAAATGCAATGTGTAAATGCATTGAAAGAAAGTTTAATAAATATTAAGAATTTATAAACTAGAAGAGTCAAATCATAATGTTGATGGTAAAAGGACGGACGGTAGTCAATATTACAATCATAACGTATTATCAATTTATCATAAATACTTGTAGTTGTTATCTTAATTTATGCATTATCGTACAGTATATAAATGTGATCATTTTTATTCATAGAATGAAAATATAGCTCCTTATTGGAGTGTACGATTTATTAACCTCTTCATCTTAAGTCTTAACTGTCTCTACCCCTGCAACTAATGTGATGCCCAAAACAGAAGTGGTCATTGGTATGGATGGACTCGGGTCCGGGCCGGGTCCGGGCCGGGACCGGGCCCAAACCGGGACCGGGCCCAAACCGGGCCCGAACCGGAACCGGACCTCCCCTTCATCATCGTTCGTTACACTGTTAGCATTAAGAGAATTCTCATTGCTGGCTAACACAAGGGCGTTTTCCAATACTGTTTCAAAGGTGATCACCAACCAGTACAAATGATGTTATTTGCGGAAGAGATCGTGTGAGATATTGTTTATATGCTGAATTTGAATGGTATAGCACGCAAATATCATCTCACAGGTGCAGTTAAAATGGACAACATTGTTTGACAGATCAAAGCAATTTTTAATGACCTGGCCCACATAACAGAAAGGTTCAAAAAATTCAACAGATCTGACCCATTATTTTTTACCAGTATCTTTTGGCAGGAATATTGGCTGCTTTTCCCTCTTGCTTTGTATATAGATAAATACATAGATGTATAAACAAGCCCTTGGAGTGGACATAACTTTTCCTCTAAACCCCTATCATTCCAAGTTTTCTTTTTGATCCGGTTACTTTTAAGATTGAACCTATAAGCCTTTAAATGATTCATATTTATGTTTGTATTGAGAGTTGTGTAAAGACCGACTGAGTGGATGGTGGAGATAGGAAATCAATATTTAGAGGTGGGAGGCAGCCAGGCAGGGGCGGCAAAGAATGAATTGTTAAATTAGGAGGCCGAAGCTTCATACTACATGCCTACATTATCCATAAATTAGTAAATTACAATTAGTTATAGTGTTATACACATAAAGAGATACATGCATGCAGTCTACTTTTCTCAGGATGTTTATTCCAACCTAAAGAGCACTGATAATGAATGAGATTCCAAAGGTGCTGGATCACCGTACCAGGTACAAACGTCGCATCCAACCACCGCATTTAATGTGGCCACATGCGAATGCCAATGCCACCCCGGTTGAGGTGACCCCTCGACCGCCAGAATGCTGACACGTGTCCCTATCTAACATTTATTGCTACTATAAATAGCACCCATTTCCCCCATTGTAAACCACGCTAAATACAACTCAAATACACATTCGAACTCTTTATCTCTCTTATTTACTTGCTCTGACTTCTCTCTAGGTTACTCCCTGCAGTAACCCCTCGGATAAACTACCCCTCGGGTACACTGTCCATCAATTGGTGCTCTCGTTGAGAGGTCGAACAATCAAGTAAGAAACCCTCCCCTTCTACTCAAAACACCTATCAAAATGGGAAGAACCACCTGTGCTCAGTCCAAGAACATTGAGGACAAACAATGTGGCCCTCAGTGAAGTCAACGCCCCCAGAGCCTCCAACAAGGCTCCCGAGGGTGGGGTCATCACTGAGCTGGAACAGGCTGCTGTTGACCTGCGCCTTCAGATTTAGCAGAATGCTCCCGATGCCCGTCTTGGCATCGAAACCCGAAGGAGGGACCGGAACGAGAATCAAGTGAGCCTGATCTGCGCACGACGATGGAGGCTATGGATGGGTTGCGCAGATGCAGTGAAGATTGCTTCGCTCTGGAGGCTATGGATTGCGTAGATGCAGCGAAGATAGGTTTTGCGCGCTCTGTTCCCTCTTTCCTTTCCTCTTTCTATTTCTCTTACACTTATTTTTGAGTTTGGTAGCTTTTGGGTTAGGGGAAACCTAAGTTGTACGTGGTTTTAAAGATATGAGCATACATAAATAAAATTTTGAGTATGGTAGAGATTTTAAATGGGTCTAAAAGAAATGAGTATACGCCTAAAAGAAATGAACTCACACAAATTAATATTGAATACATTGAAAATGAGTTTTATGTTAAACTGAAATGAGTATAAAACCCAAAATGAATGAGCATACACTAATGAACTTTCAATTTTTTTTTATACTCATTTTGTGTTTAAGTATGCTCATTTGGTATTGCTTTACGCTCATTTGAAAATGTCACACATTTCAAATGTATCATACTACATTATGTTTTACTCAAGTGAGTATAAGTCCAAAATGAATGAGCATACATAAATGAGCTTTTGAATTTTTGATACTCATTTTGTAAGTTACGTATTGCAAATTTTATAATATTGCAAATTTCAAACATATCATACTATATTAGATTCACATATTAAAATTAATTGGAAATGATATAAACATAATTTAAGAGTTTTTTATATACGAAAAGAATCATAAAAAGAAAGCGAATTCAAAGATATGAAGCAGAGAACATTGATGCTCATTTTTTGACTCCAAATACTCAAAAGAACAGGCCTGATGATCAACGAAATTGCGTTGATGCTCATTCAAGAAAAACCGTGTTTTTTACCAAAATTACAAACATGCCATCAGCTATACGGCTGGAGTGTTTCCCGTTCAACTCCAAGAAAAGACTAGAAATAGAACATCATTTTCTTTTCATCAGTGTATTATTTGTTAAAACAAACAAGTAAAAATAAATTAAATTTTTAATTTATTTTAGCATCAGATATTTTTTCTCTCTTTTAACTCTCTTCTATCTAACGTGTTCGCGGTTTAAGATTCAATCGGTATTAGAATCAGAATGGCCTGTTTTTTAACCAATATTGCATGAGGTTTAGATCGAGAAGTTCACTAGTCCAAATCGGTCCTTTGAAATTTTGGAACGAAAACTACCGGTTACGGTTCAGCAGAATTAGATGGTTCTGATTTGGAACCGTTTTTTTATTAAATAAATAAGTAAATAAATAAATAATTAAAAATAATAATTTTAATAGTAGTTGTTGTAGTAATTGTCCTAACAATAAAAATAATAAATAAGTCTTCACAATTTATAACTAATAAATTGTGATTATTAGTTAGTAATTTTTAATTATTACTGGTTATAAGTCTTAAATATCACAAATTAGAGTTATAAAAATACATAATTTAAGAATCACTAAAGTAATTTAAAATTACTAACTTCTCAACTTGTACTAGAATTTGGCGAATTAGCCCATATGATTTAAATAGTGCGTCAAACTCCTCCGTGTTATCATTACGGATGCACAAAACCCACTCTAAGAACATATTTTACAATTTTAAAATATTTTTCTTAAGAAAATAATATGATTGAATATGCAAGTAACTTTGTCAAGATTTCTAAATTATACAAAAATATTAATTATTTTCATTTATTTGGAAATTAATATAAATTTGTTCATTAAAGGAGTTTTTGCGCGTTAATAACCACTCCTATAACACAAGGGGGTTTGTCGCTTTTCTTAAATCAGAGGGAGTTAATGTATCGAATTTATATTTCACGAGTGAGTTTGTTGTATTAAACTCCACACAATGTTTAGTACTTTTTGTGTGCTACTATGTGACACTTTCTTTCTTTCTTGTGTTGAATATTATCACATAGGAGTAAAATAGTGTCAAAGTAAGACTTACGAGTATTTTTTTAATTCCTAAAATATAAGTAATTATTTGTGATTGGATAAAAACACTCTTATAGTGGGTCGAGTTTGGTCACTGGGTTGGCACCGCTAATTGCTAGATCAGTGGCCACATCGGGCCGCCGCCGGGCACCATACCAGTGGCCACACCCGTCCGCCGCCGTCGGACTACCTTGGCTATGATGGGTGAACTAGGGGGAAATTGATTATTTTAAGGATATAAATCTAATGTTTAGGCCTATTTAGAGGATACAAAAACATGGATTCCTATTTAGAAACTTTAATCATGTTTCTAAATAGGAATTGTAAGTTAATGTCATATACTACGATTGACACTAATTATAAGTTAATGCCTCCCGATAAATGGGTAAATGACACATTTCCTTCCGAATTGATTTGTGTACTTCAAATCTCGATTTTGCTGGCTATTAATATATTCAAATTTGTTTATACAGTTATATATTTTAGAATGTTAGATTAAAAACATAAACGTCTTGTTTTTAAATTTGTGCAATTCTAGATTAGATTATTTATTCGAACTAGTAACATGTTCAATATAAGTACTACTCCCTCCGTCCCTATTTACTTAGCCAAACTTGACTTTTCAAGTCAACGACGTCTAACTTTGATCGATTATATGTTTATATAGAGAAAATATTGATAATATGAAAATGATATGAAAATGTTCTTTGTTAAAAACACTATCATAAAAGTATAAAATTATTAAATTTTGCATAAATATATTAGCTTAAATATTTGGTCAAAGTTAGAGGCCGTTGACTTGAAAAGTCAAGTTTGGCTAAGTACATTGGGACGGGTAGTAGTAAACTTGTTATACGTAGATCATTATATCTTCATATTCCAGTATATGATTTCTACTTTTTTATTGTTGCTGATTTGAGATGCATTTGATTTCCCAAAGCCCAATCTGATATTTTCCCTGATGATTATATTGACTAATAACTTATCAGGAAAAGAAAATTCATCTTGTCTCCGGAGAAGAGAGATCTATGAATGAAATGTGCATGGAGTCTCCATCTTGCTCTACTGCTTTGATAATATGGAAGAAACAGACTATTCGTATTATGCATACACTTATAATTTTTTTTCCCAAAAAAAGGAGATGAGGTCTTATTAGTAGATCTTGAGTAGTTAGTCTTATTCTGGCAATAGTTTGTTTTTTTCCCCACATGGTCACATCACAATATCAAATATTACCGTTGACAATATCTTTAAGGCACAGGCATTTTTGTCGTCTCTTTCACACCGTTTATTGGAATTATTTTTCATGAATTAGGGATTTATTTTCATGCATACCATGCACATTCCTGCATTTGAAGATTCTCTTAGGGAGTATATTATACAGTACCAAATTGACATGTCAGTTTTTATCATTTTTATATAGGGATAAGGCTCAAATT